AACCTTCCGGACACGATAGGAATATTCAAGTTCATAGCTACCACAAATGATATTTTTTGAGGAATTGTCTATCTACGTTATTTTCCCATTTTCATGGAAGTACCCCCACGAGTATCGCTCTTTAGTTTGTCTGTAATCACTACAGTTACTTAAGCTGTTCGTATCTAACTTTGAATCTTCAACGCCTCGAGGTCGGCCATGAGATTTTGTTTTATCCCTTTGAGAAGGGCAGGATCTCCCTTGCCTCGGCTCTTGCTACGGCGCCGACGACGTCGTATGGCTGTGACCAAACACCAAGCTCATGTCTTTCATATGGGAGAGCTCAGCTATCCTCTTCGCATTATTGACAAGAATTGAGCCTTCTTTACCGCGTGCAGGCAAGCAGTCACTCCGCGTTCTGCTCTCGAACAAACGGTTCAGATCGCCGTAGACGACCGGCTGGCTGGCTGCACATAGCTCAGTTCTCGTCTTACCAATAATCGTTCATCACTACCGAGGCATAGTGTGTACTCGCAACTGTCTTTTAGTCCGGGTGCGGATGTATCCAGGACTAGACCTAATCAGAGGGGGCACTTCCTTTTTCTCGTTTTTTTTTTTGGTCGTGGTCATTGTCTTTGTCATTGTCTTCAAGGTAACCAACTAACCATTAATTTCAACACCTCCGATTTGGGTTTTCTTTTCTGCTTGAAAGGGGTTCTAGCAATTAATTCTTTCGTTGTTGTCACTGTTAAGTGGGGTCAAGGCAGTTTTTTGTTTCGCTGGCACCGCTTTCTGCTTTCGGGAATGACATACATGCCGCATACGGAAGAACTGTGTACGTCTCCACTGTGGACCGTGGTGGCGCCACTAGCCCTACCTGCCTGGCGAGCTACATAGGTAGCTAGGTTGGTAGCTTCCAGTTGCTTGTGCCTCGTACGAACACTCCATACCTAGCTCGTTGGCACAGAGCATGGAGTACATAGACACACTAAGTATCGAGTATAGAGTACTCGGAACTGCTTAGTGGGACCGCCTCGTCCGGCCCTCTACTTTCCGGATCAATTCGGACTGCGCTGAAGAAGACCAACGTAGGTACCTATAGGTAGGTACACACTGGGCTGTGGAAATTCGCAAAGAGACAAGGAGGACTGGTACGGAGGAGTCCGGAGTACGGAGAACATACTACAAAGGTACGTAAGGGGGCTTGGCTGACCAAGCTTACATGTCAATACGGAGAAGCTCGTTCTCAGGAACCTTCATCGGCCAGACTGGCTGAACGACACACCACCTGCTGCATGCATTTTTTTTGTAGCTTTGCTTGATATTGAAGCCATGGATGTGTCTGCCTGCCCCATTGCAATGTTGCTATCATAATTTTCCAATTGGTTCGAGCTATCGGCTGTCTGTTCACTCGCGAACCCTCTCGCATAGCGATCTGTATCCTGTACAAGGACAGTCTGTTGGATTATCCAAAGAGCTCGTCAACGTCGCCCTTAGCGTGACCCCCACCGATGCCAGCTTTGCTCTATGCACAGTCACTCGGACCCGTGCTCTTGCTAGCCCCCCTAACTGCCCCTCAGATCTGTCCCAATCCCACGTTCGAGATTGAACTTCCTCACACCACCCGGGAATGTGCTCTGTCAATCCACAGCGATAACCGTCACTCACAGTTCTTCTGTCGTTTTCCTCCTATTCGTCCTGAGGCTCGGACCAGAGATCCAGCCATATCTTAACTTTCCTCAACCTCATCTACTCGAGCAGCGTCTTTACGGATCTTAATTTCATGCGAACGCTCCATGTTTGACTTCTGTCGCTGGCCTCGGCCTGTTGAACCGACCACTGTGAGGAGTGAGCATTTTCACCGACGCGAGCAAAGCTTGCAAGCAAATTTCCACAGAATATTCTAGCTTCACGACATCCACGCCATCAGAACGTCGTTCAAACTGGGGTCGGCAAACTTTCCAACATAATCTGGGTCTCACCTTCGTCCACAACATTGGCAAGGCTGGTATCCGAGCGGATGCAAAGTGTGGTAGTGAGCAGGAAGATTGGCTTCTCCGGAAGTAGTGTATTTTGTTCCAAAGACGTTGACTTGGTTGGTTCAAGTCCTCACTCGACTTGACCAACAACTTTTCCTCATTATTAGAGCCAATGCAGACGTAGCTGGAGCTGTGAATAATGAGGAAAGTAGAAAATTTCGCTGGGCCCACTTTTCTCGTGGTCGTCATCTCAGTCACAAGGCTCAGGAAATTCTCTTAAGCAACGGTCGGACTGCCTCTGAACTCCATCAATACGTATTTTTGATGCCCCGTTGGCGCTAATGGCTCTGAAAAGCTACCAGGCAGGGCGGGAGACTTCCCCCGCCTCTCAGATCACTGAATCCAAGGCTTGGAGTTCGCGCAATTAGTTGTCCACCAGGCGAAAGATGTTTCCAAGCCATCCGTCAAGAAATCTCTTGCATTGCCCTCTGCTTAAGAATAATACCACACTCAGAGGTTTCGAGGGTCGCATATTAGAGACGTCGAAAGACTGCGTAGACTTTGGGTATGATCTCGAATTCTTATGAACTTGCGTCGGCAAGTCTCTTCTTCATTTTAAAATTTGCTGCCATTGCTTCCTAGGCGTGTGCTTTAGTCTTCGCGAAATCCGCAAAACCTTGAAGGAATCCTCCTGGAATTCACGGTGCAAACATTTTTTGAACAATTCGCCGAGCTTTAGTGACCCGTCGACAGCGCTGATGCCCACGGTGGCTTCGCTATGCGCAAACGTGTCGTCGTTGGCGGACCAGCTCACACAACAGATATCAGTTGTACCACCGCCCATGTCAACCGCAATAGTGGCAGTGGGCGACTTCACCTGATTCCATTCGGCCGATCAATCTTCAGCCGCCGAGGACAAGAGCGCGTCCGACATCTTTCAGGAGCCCACCTATCGCACCCGATTCCGGGACAGGTTGAACTCAACCTTCGAATATGCCGTCGACTGGGGGATGGGGGGTGGAATGGAGCAACAGTATTAATCTTTATTATTCCTTTAAACTCCCAGCTTTTGGCGACGCCTCTGTAGCCAGGTGCATGAAGAAGGGCAGTTGTAGTGTTAGCGTTAAAAAAGTCAAAGGAAGGGTCTGTTTTGGTCTATCGCCAGTTGTCGAGTAGCAAATGCGACTCTGCGTGGGGACAGGCTCTCGCCCCTGGAGCGTGGTTGCGCCTGGAGAAGTGGTAATGGTAGACCCAGAGAATTGACGGGCATAACCAATGGTATTTTGCTATTATGACCAGAGACCCAACACTTCACAACAAGAAGAAGCATCAGATCTAACTTTTGGGACAATATTAAACATCAGACGCCACCTCATAGGACACGTCATTCCCAGTTCGAATGCTTTTTGGCGATAAGGCTGGTGCGCGGGGACGAGGAGGATGGTCGGACAATCGGTGTACGGAGACTGGAGTACTGCTTACATAGATTCTACATACGGTGTGCAATGCAATGTAACCTTCTCCTTGGTGTCGCAGCCTCGTCGTCCCGTCCCACTCCTGGCTGGATATTGTAGGACTCATGTCTTCTTTACCCACCCCCTCTCTCTGGGGCGTGTTCCTGATCGCCAAGTACTGTGACTCGTTTTTTAAGCTTCGCGTTGGACGGTTACTTGGCTCGTCCCTCCAGGTGATCCAGTTGGTTAGGAGGTTCCGAGCCACAGTATCATGCAAGGGCGTCTTGATTACTGTATGTCTGCATTGACTGGTGGTATGTATTGAGTATATACTCCGTCATTTGTCCCCCGAGCTCCCTGAGACGGCCACGACTGCGGCCATGACCACCTGGTCTTTCATTGTTGACGCGCACTCATGCATTTGTAAGCGAGGAATCCATTAACGGATGCAGTGCACGGGGCCAAGGAATGCCGAACCCAATGCTTTATAGGGCCCATTAGCTGCCCCTCCCATTGCCCGAACACGTACTGTGCAGTCAAATTCTTCAGCCACTTGTTGTGAGAATGCATGGCGTTTACATTATGGCCAGGTGTTAAGCGACACTTCAGCCTTGACTCAAAGCTGTATATTATTATATTCTAGAAAAGTACGGCTCTTCCGAATCGAGGAATTTGAGACCTGCAGATTTGGGAGCGCTGCCGAACTAACCAACCAATCGATTCTTCGCGCCCGACTGAATTGGCACTTTCCAATCTATTTGTGTGTTTCGGCATAGCGAGGACTGCCAGCTGCTAATTAAGGGAGCTGGGTTGCAATGACGAACTATTCCAAAATCCTACTGGTGATCAGTAAGTCGAGTATGCCCCCCCCCCCCGGATCTATTGCATGAGTCTCAGGTTTGCAAAATTTGAATGCGTTTGGATCAAGATGGGTGCTGACAAAGGTTCGCTTGATTGTAAACTTTGGAGTCTCCGACTAGTCACATAACGGTCTACATTGCTGTACATCAGACTTTTTACTTCAGGCATTGAACCAATAACGAGAGTTTACTCGTCTGAAGGATGGCCTGGTAAGGTTGGCAGGACGGCAGGAGGCGTCAAGGGAAACCTATGGATTTCGGCAGTCCCGAAGCGAATTTGAACGTCGAGAAAAATTCAAGTGGGACAACTAATATAGTCCATCTGCATGGGATGGCAACTGATTCCGATCAGAAAACCGGGTTACATGAGCTCTGGGCACATCCGTAATGCTGACTTCTCAGAAGGACAATGTTGAAAAAGGCTGGAGGTCCGTGTCATGGAACGAAGCTGCGAGTCTCGTTTCGATGACAGAGAACTTTCTTTAACCTCGAATACCACGGCTCACTAAGCCTTACATCGTTGATCTGCAACAATAACACCTCGCTACTTCAATATCCACCCAAACGATCACCTCCCTGGATCTCTAGAATCCACCGAATTCGATGTGATCGTTATTGGCTCTGGTCCCGTGGGTCGTCAAGCTGCATCCAAGACCGCGGAAGCCGGCCTCTCCTCCGTCATAATCGAGGAAGAACTATGGGGCGGCGAATGTCCCTTCTGGGCTTGTATGCCTTCAAAGGCCATCTTGCGTCCCGGGGAAGCATTGGCCGCCGCCCGGCAAATCGGAGGAGCCAAACAGCTGATTGCCAGTGATCGACTTGTCGACGTGGAAGCCGTTTTCGAGCGACGCGACAAAGTTACCCACAAATGGGACGATGAGTTCTTTGTGAATCTGTCGCTGAAGCGGAAATGTTCTGTAGTGCGTGGGAAGGGATCGCTGATTGACGAAAAGGTCTTGGTAAAGAATATCAACGGCCAGGAACGGGCATTACTCGCCAAACACGCCGTTGTCATTGCCACCGGTTCGGACCCTGTCATCCCAACAGAGATCAAGGGAATTAACCAGATCAATTATTGGACTCCAAGAGATGCCACTGCGGCAAATACAGTCCCTGAGCATTTGATTATCGTGGGGTCAGGCGTCGTGGGCTGTGAGATGGCCACCGCATTTTCAACTTTCGGCAGCAAGGTCACCATGATAAGTGCAACATCTGAAGTCCTGGGTCGTTACGAGCCGGAAGCCGGGAAGCGCGTTCGAGAGGCGTTGACAGCTCGGAATGTCGTGTTTCATTTGTCTTCGAGGGTGAACGAAGCCTGGAAAGAGAGCGACGGCAGGATATCAGCGAAGCTGATCTTAGGACAAGTCGTCACCGGCTCTACCATTCCCATAGCCACCGGCAGAAAGCCTCGCACGGAGGGCATCGGCTTAGAAAGCATTGGCCTGACCAGTGCCACTGATGTTGATCAGAGTCTGTGTGCCTCTTCCGTCGACCGCAACTGGCTATATGCAATTGGAGACGCAAACAATCGAGCTCCGTTGACACACATGGGCGAATATCAGGGTCGAATTGCAGCAGCCGCCATTATCGCTCGAGCTGCAGGAGTTGATGTGCAAGCGCCACAGCCTTGGAGTGGCTTCGCCGCCACCTCAGATCAGGTTGCCATTTCGCAGGTGGTTGTGACGGATCCAAATGTTGCTACAGTTGGCCTGACCTTGGCAGAGGCATCTAAAAAGGGCATAAAGGCCGTCGAGGTGGCTTCGCCATTCAATTTCCCAGGTGCCTGGATATACGCTGAGTTCGAATACGATGGGTGGGCTCAATGGGTCGTAGATTCTGAGAGGAATATGCTTGTTGGGGCCACGTTCGTCGGTCGGGAGGTTGGCGATCTCCTCCACGCCAGCACCGTTGCCATCGTTGGTCAAGTCCCTCTTGACCGACTGAAGCATGCTGTTGCCAGTTTTCCCACCAGGAGTGAGATACATGGGATGTTGCTGGAGAAGTGGTGTCAAATGCGGAAGTAAAGCTCGCAAGGTTGGCAGGTGAGAGCAACTTGAAGAACCCAGAACAAGACTCCAACCGTCCACGCCCTCGAGTTGATCCAATCTCCAGATGTTACAGCCACAAAAGCCAAAGCTAGAAGTGATGCGTGCTTCGTTACTTATCTTATATTGCGGCATCGGAAGCCTTCCGCCCCGAATAATAGAAACTTATCTGACTGGGCTGTTGCTTCACATCAAAGCAAGATTCATCTCGTGGCCATTTCAGTGACATATGGTAGAGGTCACTATTTCGGAAGTGACGAAAGTGCAATGTTTCAAAAGCTGAAGACATCGCGGAAGATGCCACTATATTTGTGACTGGGTTGCGTAGGTGCGCTGGTTGCGTTGAACTCTCGTCTATCCTTCGACTCGAATTAGCTCGCCTTAAGATCATCCACCATGAGGAAGCTGCGGCATCTTCTCATCTTGGCCTCGCTTTTGTGTCAAACAACAAAATATGGGCCGCTAGCCTTCCAACATTTAGTGCGCTTGAAGGCGCTTCCCGTGATCAGCGGATTCGACAGGTGGAACAGGCTTTCGAAGATGCAGTGTTACTGGCGAGAGTGACGGCGGCGACATTTGATCCATGCGAAGAGACCCTCCTTCGTTACTTTCGACCTCTGGAAGCAGCATTTGTGAAACAGGTGTTCCAGACAATCGCAAATATCCCTCTTAGTCAAGAACTCGACGGCGACAATGTGGTTGGAATATTGTCGAGTGCATCGGTGGCTCAAGACCTGCAACCAAAATTTGATCAACTAGAGATTGCATATGGAAACCATCCCACCCTCCCGGAAAATAAACAAGACTGCGGCAAGGCTGCCGCCAAAGGCGAAGGCGGGATAACCGCAGCCTTTGCCTTCATAGATCCTCGTGTCCTGGGAGACATTGCACTAGTGTCCATGTGCGATGAAGCCTTTGAGTATCCGACGCTTGAGGAAATAGCGAACCCGTCAAGTTCAGCAAGAGATCCACAAGGGAACCCTGAGCCAGGATACACATGTGACGGTCTTGGTGATCACGACAGTGACTGGATGACTTCTCCGGGAGGTGTTCTCTTGCACGAACTCCTACATTGGACCTTTCTCTTGGAAGATATACCCGGCTTTGAGGATATAATAGACGAGAACGAAGACAACTTCCCTCAAATTATTGATTTCTGTGAGTATCCGCGTCTCTGGTACCATTGCTTGCATTTCAAGACCAGAAGGCACATTCCTGGGCTGATATAATTCTTCTCTGCCGGTATGCTGATGGTGGTTAATTGCAGGGGGGCCGAACCCTCCTGACGGATATGGACCATTCCGTGCCAGCCAACTCAGAGATCTAGGTGCATATGTCGCCATACAGAACGCCGACACATATCGTTGTTACGCTCAATCCAAATATTGGGCTTGGAAGTGCGGGAAACCATTTGAACCGGCGCAGAGCGAAGACGATAATATCAGGAAGACAGGTGTCCGGATAATTCAAGGAGATCCAAAAACTGGAGAAGATTAAGACATCTGAAAGTTGCCAACGATATTGGTCAGAGAATTCTAGAGATGCTTGAGGAGGGTCCTATGTTTGCTGGATCTGTCGCAGAATGGGATCTCGTCACGGTGATGGAATCATTGCGAAGATTGTAGGTTGCTTCGATGGCATCAGAGCGGCGTGGTTTAGTCTCCAAAACAAGGATCGAGCAACTTGACCTCCAAAAGCAGCGGCTCTCTGATATTCTTTCCCCATCTTCGTATCCGACGACACCACAGCCTCCTCACAAACACTTTTCAATGCTCGCAAGATGCTCGAGAGAGGCGCCGAAGAACTTAAAAAGAGCTTCCCTACAGCCATGGCCCAGACCCCGGCCGCGGTCCAGCTCGTCAATTCCACAAAGCTCACCAAAGGCTCCTAATGCTCGAGACTCGGCCTATCGACGCACCTTCACTGCAGTCGCCCTTGGTGCTGGTCTATACGCACTCTGGCAGGCATATCTCTACTCACTGAAACGTGACTCGTTCGTCCCATACACGCTCGTCGCGAAGGAGCCTGTCTCCTCGACCGCAAGCATATTTCACCTCGAACCAAAGAAACAAGACCGCAACTATGAAATCTATCAAGATGCTTGGAGGAGAGGAATCTGGCATGTTGAATTCAAGCAGCCGCAGCTCCAGATTGTGAGAGCCTACACGCCATTACCACCGGTTGACGAAAAGAGTGCGGAAGAGAAGGGCCAAATTAGATTTCTAATACGAAAAGATCCACACGGCGAAGTCTCAAGTTATCTCCACAGGTTGCACATTGGTGCAGACATCGAAATGCGAGGGCCCAATTTAGAGTACGAATTGAGCCCAGAGGTGCAGCAAGTAGTTTTCTTTGCGGGAGGAACAGGCATTGCGCCGGCTCTGCAGGTTGCGCACGCCTTATTTGAAGGGGACAGGACTACAGGAAATGAAGAGGCAGACAGAGACCGAAAGCTGCATATACTATGGGCAAACAGAATGCGCGAGGATTGTCTGGGCGGCGTCAGCGATGATTCCCTTGCAGACTCATCGCCTCCCAAGCCAACCTGGTCGGGCTTTTTCTCAAAGCCAAAGCAAAAACCACCACCTCCGGTCTCTCAGAAGAAGGGTGTCATCGTACAAGAACTAGAGACTTTGAAGCGAAGATACCCGGGCCAGATCACTGTGGAGTACTTTGTCAATGCCGAGGATACATGGATCGACGAGGACGCCGTTTTCCAAGCACTATCAAGGTTCGATGACAAGGACTTCTCGCCAGGATACGCGACATCGCAAGAACAAAGGCAGATCCTCATCTCTGGGCCGCCTGGGTTCATCGCCCATCTTGCTGGGCCCAAAGAATGGAGAAATGGACGAGAAGAACAAGGCGCTGTCAGCAAACTCATCGCCCATGCAATCTCTAAAAACCCTCACAATGTTAAGGTTTGGAAGATATGAAGGGAATCTGAACCAAATCTGTCGAATCGATCTCATCCAAGAACATGAGTTGGTACATCCATCATCGCACAGTCCCTGTTCTAGGTGCCGGTTGAATAGGAGCATTGATCAACTCATCAAACGTGATGCTTTTTCCACACAGCATGCGTTTCAATGTCCACAATGCAAGTCCACGATGCAACTTCGAGCACTGAGCAATGTCGCCATTGAAGAGGACTGATGGCTTTTGCAAGTGTTGGTGTTGGGCGCCATCGTTCATTAGACGTAAGGGACAGTGAGCACCATCATCCGCCGCTCGCTGTTGTGACAGCAGTTATTAGACTCTCAACAAGCTGCTCTGGCGACCAAAAAAAACCCCCTTGGATGATCAAGCCACTCTTTTGCGGCGTCCAAGTTGTTGAGAAGGCAGCGCCGTCCTTGACCAGATTTATCACTCTTATAACAAGTCGACGAATTCTGGGACGTGGGAGATACCTTCAGTGTTCGGAGTCTGAAATCTCCGTGAATCTCGCCAGCCACATTTTGTTTTCCCATTCAAACCGGCCACGCTTCCAAATCCAAGCAGAGATCTACTTTCTCCCCATCTACTCTATTTCGGCCCTTGTGCTCTATCGTCGGCTTTGAGAGCCAGAGAGTTAGTTCTATTCTTCCGTCTCCCTTCCTCCGCGAACGTATTTTCGCATTCCTTCTCCAAATTAAATTTTCGCCTGCCCGCCTCCTGCCCTCTCGCGCTTCGCCAACTCCCTCAAGTCCCTCCTCAGGATCTTCCCGCTGGGACTCTTGGGGATGGCTTCCAGATAAACCACGCCGCCGCGGAGTTGCTTGTGCTGGGCGAGACTGCGCTTCACAAAGTCCTTGATCTCCTGCTCCGAGATCTTGGATCTGTCGGCCACGACGTAGGCGCGGGGGATTTCGTTGCCGAACCCCCCCGGCTCGGGGATGCCGATCACGGCGGCGTCTTGGATCAGTGGGTGTGAGAGAAGGAGGGCTTCGAGCTCGGCTGGGGCGATTTGGAGGCCTTTGTATTTGATCAGTTCCTGGGGAGCGAGAAGCGTGGTTAGTTTACTCGTCTCGTGGGATGTCATGGCGGGAGAGGAATATGAGGGAGGGAGAATTAAAGCTCGAACATGGGGGAAGAAAAGCCCAAGATACCTTCTTCCGATCCACCACGTAAAACAACCCGTTCCTACAGACTCCAATATCGCCCGTCTTGAACCAGAGGCCGTCTCTCGTGAAACTCTCCCTGGTCGCCACTTCATTGTCCCAATACCCTTTCGTCACCATGGGTCCTTGCATGATGAACTCGCCCTCCAAGCCCTCTTCAACGTCGTTCTCCTCGTCGTCCACGATCCTCATCCTCACGTTCGGCAGCAGTGGACTGACCGATCCGGTCTTGTCATCCTGGTCCCAGGGCATGGCCGTCACGGAGCCCGTCGTCTCGCTCAACCCCCAGGTCTGGCTGATCTGACAACCTAGTTTCTTCTCCGCCATGGCCTGCAGCTCTGCGCCCATCGGCGCCGCCCCGCCGACCGCGTGCACCAGCGTCTTGAACTGGTCCGTCACCAGTGGACTCTTGGCGATAAGCAAGTAGATCGGGGGCACGCTGAAGAAGTGCGTGATGCGGAATTTCTTGTTGTACTCGAGAAATTTGGGGAAGTCGAATTTGGGCATCCAGTAGACGGGGCCGCCGGCGATGGCCGGGTTGACGTAGTAGCCCTGGCAGCCGGCGATGTGCGCGGCGGGCAGGTGGGCTAAGGTCCGATATTCAAAATTGAACGAAGGGTTGAGCCGGCGTTGCTTCGCGAAGTATTCGCGTATCATGTACTGCGGGATGAGGCCTTCCGAAACGAGGTTGGTGTGTGAGATGTTAACTCCTGCGCGTGGAGGGACGGCAGAGGTCAGCAAAAATCTTCTAGAGGACCGCTTGAAGCATTGTCCCAAGAGATCTGAATGACAGCTTACCTTTTGGAACGCCGGTAGTGCCACTGCTGTACAGCAAACACACCACCCTCTCCTCCAATACTTTCTTGTCCGTGATCCTTTCCCACTCGAGCACCTCCTCTTTCTTCCCGTCTCCCTGCAGAAAATTCCTCCCTTTCCGCTCCACATCCTGCAATATTCTCTTCCCGCCCAGTGACTCCAGCACCAGGACCCTGTCTAAGGCTACATTGCACTCCTTGGCCGCCCGTATGGCGACCTCCACACAGTCTGGGCTGCAAACAATCAGATTGCTCTTTCCCTGCTTGACCTGTCTCGCCAGCTCCAGCGACGTAAATGATGAGCTTGCCGCGCTGAACACCCCTCCGGCACCAATGACTCCGTAAAAGACATTCGAGAGCAGAATTTGGCCGGAGGAGATGCACACCACGACATCCTTGCCCGGACCACTTGCTCCGATCCCAAAGTGGTGGCGGAAGATGTAGGCGAGGCGCTTGGTGTAAGCTCGTGCTTGGGCCTTGGTGACGCAGTTCGAGGGCAGAGCGGCTTCGGCGTGGAGAATTGTAGACTCGGTGGTCCACGACTCGGGCGATTCTAGACATCACCTGCGGTTAGAAGATGCTTACAGAGCATTGGAGACCTAGACCGACAAGGACACACCGTATATGAGGGTCAGGATATCGAGATCGGGAAGCTCATAGTCCTTGGAGGGCAGGTAGATTGTCTTGCGAGGCGGCATTTTGGTGAGTGATGCTTGCAGATATCCCTCCCACTTTCATGGCGGGTGCAAGCAACCGATCTGATAGCCCTTGGGACTATCAGAGGAGATATTTGTAGGCTGGTGCAGCACGGGCATCATTGTGGACTAGACGACTCATTCAAAGACTCCCTAGACACTGACTCGACGACAAGGGGTCGAGAGGAGACGCGAGAAGATGGAACCGAAGTCGCAGTCGATGCTACCGAGGCGGAATGCGGATAAACTTCCCGCTTCCACCATTGGCGGGGACCCCAGGCATGCACAGCCTCGGCCCCCGAATTTCCAAGCATAGTACCGAGTACAATCACACAACGAAGCGGCCACGCTATTAAACGAAGACGACCGAAATGCAAGTCGCGGTGATGGCAGTGGATTAAATTATGTGTGTATTGACGACGGCTATCTTCCAACCCAGCAACTTCCACTGGACCAACCAACTCCCCCTTTCCGGCTCATAATGGCGAAATAGTCATGGATCGCTCAAGCTGATTTCTATCCAAACACCGCCAACACCGAGGGACGATCCAGAAAAGAACGATATCCGAAAGTCAGTCAGGAGAATAAAGGGAGCGACTTTTACCGCTTGGGCGTGGTGGGAGTCGTAACGCCATTTGATCGGCTGCCTCGATCATCATCTCTCTGTCCAGCATCGTGATGTCCATCCCCGATCATGCCCTGCATGAAAGTAATATAGTCGTACTTGGGGACGTCTCGATCTGCCTCCATGTCTGGACCCCTGTGTTCGGGCATACTTTGCAGCAAGTCTTCGATCAGGTCGTCTGGGATCAATGAATGCCTGAGGTCCATTTCCGTGACATACGGTTTCCCGTCTGCCACTTCACGGAATGACTGGAATACCTGTTCAGCGCTGTTTTGATCTTCAGTGACAGCGACCATGAAGTGAATGAATTGCTCGAAGCCGACTCCACGAGACTCTCTCTGTCTTCGGGAGACCGGCGACATTGACGGGTCGATGCCGCTGTGACACACCTCCAGGAACTTCTCGTGCATCTCTTGCTCGTCGTACACCAGGCCCAGACTCGCCAACGCGGCACTGAACTCCAGTTCTGTCAGGGTGTTTGTGCCATCGCGGTCAAAATGCCGAAACACCGATTCAAACTCCTCGAGCTGAATCGGAGTCAGATTCGTCATGTTGCGCGCCACCATTTGGTTTTCCAGGAAGGTCAACTTTTTCTGCACGCTCGTCTTGACGAGGCTCAGTTCGTACAACAACTCATCGTAAGTGTATGTCGTGTAGTCATTTTCATCAATGTTGGCCTCCTGGCACTTCTCGTCGAGGATAGCTATTCCTTCCAGGTATTGCTCGAGCGGTCCTAAGTTTGCTGACAGTCGCTGCGCGTGATCTAGTTGATCTTCGACATCACCCTCCAACCCCGATATGGCCAAAGAAAGTGTATTCAGAGTCAGCGCAAAGTCGTTGGCTTTGTCCGCAAAGCTCCGTCTCAGAGCGTTCTTGATGTCCCGGATGGTCTCGTTGATGAGTTTGCTCCTCGCGTGTTCATCGGTGCTCAATGCTGCCCACTCGTGGTCAAGTACTTCCAATCGTAGCTCCGCCGGTGGCTGGTATGGCCGAAGGCGATATGTGGACAATTTCGTCTTGATGTTCCCGAGAAGAGCTGCCAGATCGGACTTTTCTGCCACCCACCTTCGTTTCTGGTTCCGTTTATAGCTGGCGAGTTCATTGGCTTGAGATTTGGCGTCGGAATATGTTCCCTCAAACCTGGAATCACGCCAGGCCTGTCTCTGATGTCGAATCTGTTGCAAGAGAGCCCGCATTCTTTTCTCATACGCGGATTCCATCTCCCAAGCACCTTGCATATTGCTCACAAATTTTTCAACTCTTCTCCCCGCATTCTCGACCCTTTCCATTGCACTAAATGCGTGAAACCAGTAGGCGATGTACGTCATGAGAGATCGCTCGTCAGGCTTAGGGACATCTGCAACGTCTTCCACGTCGAGCAGGTCGGGAATCCCAATCTCCTTGGAAGCAATATCGAAGGCCAGCTTCATGTTCCCCTTGTGATCCGACTTATCCAACGTGTCAAAATCAATGAGGTCGGGCCGGTGGATGTCGAGCAGGGCGCAGAAAGCGAGACCGTCGTTCCACGAAGAAGAGAAGTCTCGCACTTCGACGCCTTCGTAGCACGCGGTCTTTCGCTGGCACCAGAGGAGCAGGCCTTCTTTGGCCGTCAACCCCTCTTCGTTGATGTCGGAAATGGTAAACCGCAAAATGAGCGTCCATATGAGGCCCAGGATGATTTTTCTGTTCCCGTCAACAACATCTTCGGCGCCGATGTTGGTCATCTGAATCCCGCGGCTCTTGATAAACTCCAGCGATTTGTTGACATTTTCGAACCTCTGCACCCGCAGTCTCGGGTTCGAAGCGTATCGACCGAGGGATTCATTGCTCAGGATTTCTAGCAGGTGGATAAGGATGATGCCGTCGGACAGGTCGGTCACGAGGCTTTTGACGGCGACTTCGCGAGAGACGATCTTGTTATTCAGCCTAACAGTATCAGTCCACATTCGTTAGTCGATGACGGCCCTGGAGCGTACCACTTTGTAAAAGTCTTCTCTTGCACATTTACCCATTGCTTCTCCAGCAACACCATGGCTGCATGTCAGACGCAAGTCGGCCCAGATACGGTGGTTCGGCTCCTGGTTCTCAAGCACGCAAGGCTATTGATAATGACCAGGTTATGTTGGATGAGGATGTGTTGGTATCCAAGATATTCCCAAGAGACGATAAATGGTCGATTGCAACACGAGTGCAAACGAGCTGAGTACCCCGTGTCAGCCTAACATAGTCACGAGTGAGAGAATGATCTGGAGGTACGGAGTATGGTATCGTATTCACACCAAGAGTCCAAGACAAGACAGCTGAAGATTGCAGCTGAAGGCGTGCAGGCGTACTAGGTAATAATTCCGGATTTGCGAGGGGTCCCAATCCATCCTCGGCAGACCTTCTGTTGGTGAAATTGAAATGTCCAAATGTCAACAAAGACGAAGCTGAATCGGTCGGCGGAGAAACCGGGCCTGACCCTCGTTTCCGCCAATCACATTGCTCCCGCCGCTTCGCGTACGATGATTCGAATTTCACGCGCTTGCCTCCCTTTAGCAGGCGAGATTGCACCGTCGCGTGAGGCTTTACGTACAAGGTAACATCTGTTCACGCGTACCATGTACATCTAATGTATCTAGGCAGTTGACCACACCGTTATGATTACAAGTGCAGCCAGTACCACGTTGGGGCAAACCTTTGTCAACAAGCAGCTGCTGTGATGGTCAATGACGACATGACGCTGGATTTCCTGTGGTATAGGCTGGTGAGTATGAGGCAGAGATGCGTTCAGGGAATTTAAAGGGGTCAAGTAGGTATTCAACCAGTTCAAGATCTTGTGTTGTTATTTCAGTTCCCAAAACACCATCGGTCTGGGGCGCCCTCGAAATATGGGATCTTTGACAGCGTCTCCTGAGGAAGTGGTGCTGGGTGACCTTGGTGACCACGCCATCGTATCTTTCAGGTGTCATGATCCTAGCTCATACTCTGGATCAGCACAAATCGTCTTATCCTCTCTTGTGCAATACACCGACTCGCTGGGCGACAGCGAGGTCGCTGCCCTGCAGGAAGAAGTCGAGAACTATGGCCGGATACAATTAGACCGAGTTCCCCTACTGCTGCCCAGGAAGGGCCAGGAGAACACTGGCAGTGTTGCTAATCGCTTCAAAGATACCTTCACCGAACTCCGGGCCTTCGAGATCTACAGGCTTGGTTTCACGCGAGCCGTCTTTCTGGATGCTGACGTGGCCGTTTTCCAGAATCCCGACGACATCTTCGAGTGCAAAATCCCAAGCCAAGACTGGATTGGCGCCAATCACGCCTGTGTGTGTAACCTAGACCGTGATCTCTGGGCTCCGTCTGAATGGCACAAGGGCAATTGTGCGTACACCCCGTTGAATCGCCCTGACGAAGTGGCTCCAGAGATCACGCTGGAGAGTCGACCCACATATCATCCCTTGAACAGCGGCATGTTTCTCTTCTACCCTTCCGAGCAGCTGTGGAACAGCATGCTTCATTTCTTCCACACCAGCGACCAGTTGAAGAACTATCAGTTTCCGGATTAGGACTTCCACGCTGCCTTTTTCCGCGGCAAATGGCATCCACTGTCCTGGAAATACAACGCTCTCAAGACCATGAGATATTGGCATCCTCGGATATGGTCGGACGGCAAGCTGGTGGTCCTCCATTACATTGTTGACAGGCCTTGGGAGAGGCAAGTCAGTCCCGGTGGTCTTGCTGGTCATCTTGGTAGAGACGGAGACACACATCAATGGTAGTGGAACATACTCATGAATGGAGAACCCTGCGAAAAGAGAGGCAGCCCAATAGTGTCGGACTTCTGACTGTGCACGAGCTGGTCGATACCGAGGAGCCATTCAACGAGAAGATTCCACTGCCTCAGGAAGTCGGCAAGCCCGAGGATGTCCTGCCATCGACATAAATATTTGATTAGAATTGCAATATCGAGGCGAATACATCGCCTATTGACAGCCACTCATGTCTTTGCCTTCCTGATCAGTGCCTGATGGTTAGTCAGTATTTCTTCCTCAGCCTTGCTCAGCCTTGTCAATTCTTGGAGCCATGGCTCTCATGGTGATATTCTCGTCCGTACCGACCTTTTTTCCGCCCACAAAGTCACAGCAGCCAGCGTCACTGGCAATAAGGTGCTCCATCCGGCATGACAACGTCCTATTGGAGCATTGCCTTCGCAAGGGGGGTAGCGGTTGAGTGCCTTAGCCTCGCGACTTTGTGCGTGGCTGCTTCATCACTGCCTGCAGCCGGTTTGAATGGCAAACTTGGCAGTTCAAACAACGACCTGGATAATATTCCTGCCCTTATTCTTCGTGTCGGTGTGTTGCCTGTCTTTCATTCTTTTCCATCATTCATTCGTTGTGTTTCTCATAAATAGAACAACCAGCTGCCCGATAGGAAGGGCCATACTTTTTACTTCCAGGGAGGAAGTCATGGCGGTCAGTCCAGAGTCACTGTTTTCCTGTCGTGTGTCCTTCACCGTTCGAGCCTCATCCAGACTGACTCCCTCTTTACAGATCAAATACCTTCTTTTCGATTGCGACAACACTCTCGTGCTCTCTGAAGACATTGCCTTTGACGTCTGCAGCGGCGTAGTCAACGAGATCCTGGAGAAGAAAGGCATTGCCGCGCGGTATTCGCCCGAAGACCTGATCTCTCAGTTTGTCGGACTCAACTTTCGAAGCATCATGACCATCTTGCAGCGGCAGCTCGGCTTCGGACTTGACCAGGACGAACTACGGGGCTTCACCAAGATCGAAGAGGACCGTGTCATTGCAAACGTCGAGGCGAAAGTGAAAGCATGCCCCGGATCACTCGAGATGCTGCAGAAGCTCCATCAACAAGGGAAATACAAGATGGCCGTTGTGTCTTCCTCGTCGCTGCGCCGCATCAATGCATGCCTTGAGGCGACTGGCCAAGACAAGTTCTTTGATACCGACAAAATCTTCTCCGCGGCCGACTCACTGTCCCTTCCGTCCAGCAAACCGAATCCTACCGTCTATCTTCACGCCTTGCAGCAACTGGGAGCCAGTCCGGAGGAATGCCTGACGACCGAAGACAGCAAGTCCGGGGTCCTGGCCGCCGTGAATGCAGGAATACCGTGTCTTGGATATGTTGGCTCCACGCACACGAGAGGGCAGAAGCACGAGATGTCCAGCCACCTTATGCTTACCGGTTGCAAGGGCATCATGTGGGACTGGACTGAATACGAGAAGATGTTAGCGATGGTCGAGGCTACGGAATGGAACTGTTGAAAAGTTAGGTCGGTGGGATTTGCTGCCGTTTCTAGAGGCCCAACCAGAATATCAGCGCTCGATGAGGACGACATGACAAACAATGGAGGTTGATGATACTGAGCTGTAAACAACTCGTCAGAATAGCGCAAATAAACCGACACTGTTTGTTTCCACTTGGACGCTCTGGGGGCTACAATACAATATGCTGAGATGCAATCAATAAGTTGATAAACATCAACTTTGGTCCTTTGATTGAACCCGTACAAAACATTGATAGCGAGCTCACAAACAAATCCGTCGCATATCTGTCTTCATCGGATTTCCCGTCTGTTTCAACTCACGTAGAGTCTTGATCCCAGAAGATGTGATAGTGCCGTTATTTTTCGGCGCATTTGTGCTCAGGGTTGATCCTGCCCATCTGCCTGCGTGGTGTCTTACAACCCCAGAACACCTCCAATGATTGAAGACTGACCTCCATGTCACTTTGAAGACTGTATGCCACGACACAAACAGCCTTTTTCTTCTCTTCCCTTTTCCTTTTCTTTTTCACCATCCACGGGGATCAAGCAATGACAATAATCCATGCCTTTTCATCGTGTCGGGGTTGAATGTTCCATTTCCTCCCTTGTGGTGTCTTGGTCCAACATCGTCCAAAACCCCCTTCGGTGCCCCTTGCATACCATCCAACATCCAACCAGATCGCTCGAAAGTACAGAAACCTCCTCCACCTCTCTCGCCCTTCCACGAGCGTCCAAGGGGGCCCAGACATTCCAGATCCCGAAAAAAGGATAGTCGAGTTCTTTTTGGGCGGCGAACTGTTTTTAAAATGGATGGATTTCCCCGTGCACGGAAGAGATTTTATTCAAGCATCGATGAAATTGAACAGGGTGAGCAGGCTGCGGCAACGGATCTGCCGTCGTCGGCGCCTACGTCAAAGTCCAGTCCCCTACCACAGAGACATGACTCTCCGAGTCTCAGCATGAAGATGCCGATACCGACGCCGATGCCTCTACATCATCCAACCGCCGGCTTGCTCAGGACTCAGTCGCCCTTGGTGGGACAACATCTCTTGTCGATGCCTATTCATTTCCATCGGGCGTCAACAACACCCCTGGTTTGGACGACTCTCGACGCACCTCCCCCTCACTCTTACGGCTCGTGTGTGAGTCTTGATCCAGCTTCTCTTTCCCCGATCCCAGACCCGGTCGCCGTCGCAGAAATCAAACGTCTGATTCCCGAAGTTCTCAAGCGAGCTACGTACAAAGATGTTGCCGAAATGGTCGAAGCGTTGATGGTAGACGGGCCCGGCACGACTCCACCTTCACATGAAGTTAAGCCCCCAGCGCTGGAATCGGATCAAATCAACGGTGGCATCTCGGGAGGGTACACGGTGGAAATGGCAGGAGCAGAGTTCGACGCCTTCTTGAGTCAGATGACGGAGGAAGATCTCAAGGATCCTCATATAATAGGGGAGCACGTCGATCCAGAAAGCAGTAGATGAGAGTGGTATGGGTGAAACTTCAGTACTATGCGTTTCCGGACGTGACAGCCTTCGAACACGGGTTTCAGCCTTACGACCAGACGAGCATGTCCGGCCAAGAAGCCTTTGAAGTAGCAGCTTTGCTGAATGATTGAATGATCGATAGGATTCATAATGACCAAGGACAGTGATCGATCTGATGTTTCGCTCCTGCAGACCTTGTAGATTGCTGTTTGTTCGTTTGTTTGGCCTTGCTTGTTGTTTTCCCGTGTTTCTTTTACTGCCTCCCCCCGTCTTTCTCAGGCGCTCAGAGAGTCACCGCAGTTTTGTTCCCAAGCCATCGTCATTGGTCATGCCATATGGCATTTGGCCCGGAATCATAGCCTATACAGACTAAGCTTCTTCACAGTCCCCCTCTTACAGCATCAGGCATCACGGTGCAGTGGAGACCAGGAATTGATGCCTCTTTTTGTGCGTAGTCTGCTCTCTTGTGCTTAGGAATCAGGCCCAGGATTGTACATACTCCGTCCTGTGTTTAAGAACCATGTCCGTGGACCATGATTGTGGTATGTCCTCTTGCGCTTAAGAGTCAAGTCCATGATTGCAGTCCGGACTCTTATGATTAGGAACAGGGGTCCGTGATTGTAGATACTCCGCCCGGAGCTCCTGCCAACGATCTCAGGCTGGTGACTTGTTCTCTCCTCTTGCCGGTAAAGCGCAAGGCTGTGAAAGTGACGTTAATGCTCTTGTCTCCACCAAGCTCGGGCATGGTCTGGGCATTTCAATGGTATAAGTAAGACCTTGAACCTTTGCCCTCGCCACTTTCTTTCACTCACATGAAGTGTCTGGCTCTGTTGGGTCTCTACTTCCCGTTCGCCATAGGCATCCTCAGATCAACGCAGGCACGTGGTTGAATCTCAGGAACAGAAATGCGGGCCTCCTCGCCAACTCGCCATGGTGATAGATGGCGATCCAGTACAGAAAGGAATATAAGATCAGAGAGCCCGACAACGAGGAAATAGATTGTCCCAACCAATGTGGAGCAATGCTTGCGATATAGGACACTGACACGCAATCATGGTCCATTTGCACTTCCAAATCTTCCTGCCGGACCGCGTTGCATCTCGCTAGTGCGATATTTCACTCACACTGGTAGGGCAGTTCGCACAATTAAAAGTCCCGACTGAATTTTGAATTTTCAAACTTGCGTACCTTCCTTTTCATCAACACCTTGTCGATTGTGTCGAATTTATCTTGTAACCATCATTCTTTCATCGCGCGTGTTGCCGCCTTCGTTGGCGCCGTCTGTCAAGCATCCGTCACCGTTCGCACAAGGCTGGATCTCCTTGTTACCAAATATGGCGGCGCCGAGACATGTTCCGCCTAAAGCGGCGAATGAGAGTCAGTCTGAGGACCCGCGTGGTGCGAACAGCATTGGGCCTGCGCAGGTGAGCAGCCAGGCCTCGGCCCTCACGGCGTCCGGTCTAGATGATTTCGACCAGGAGTTTGCTCACTTGAGTGCTCTTCTCCAGGCTGAACTGGTAAGTGATGGAGGCACGTCAGTTCCCTGAGCATAGTCATTGACGCGTCGGCAGTATGGCAGCAGCATCCAAGACGACTCTTCTTTGAATGGACTGCTCAGCAGCAGCCATGAGGGCACCGCCCAAGACCTCACTGCTGGTGGCAACATCACTCAAGGTCTCACCACCACTGATACCATCAACCAGGGGCTTGCCGCCACTGGCTACACCGCTCAAGGTCTCGAGACCACTGATGACTTCACCCAGGGCATCGCCGCTACTGAAGACAGTAACCCATCTGCTGCCTTCAACGCTTTCTTCGGCTGGGATGGTGTCAGCCTGGCCGTGGCATCAAACGTGACCGACGACTTGGCCTTGGCCTTCCAAGGTGTCGGCTCCCAATTCAATGACTTCGATCACATGCTCGAACAGGGTTTCACTGTTCACCCGTGGCAGAATGGCAAGTGCCTACCTTTGATGATTTATGAGAATCGACTGACAGTCTGATACACCAGATCCAGCCGATTTTCCACCTGGTTTCGAGAAGGCGGCAAATGTGGCTTCAAGTACCCCAATCCGCTTCAATGCGTATGCGGTTGAGGGCCTCGAAGGGGAACTGCCTGAACTGCCTGACGCGAATGTGCCGGACCTCGCCTCCATGGCCCGTGATTTTGCTAGGAGTGCAGCAGTCGACTTTCCAACTCTTGGCGCTACAGACACAGGTTGTAAAGATTCTGAAATCAGCTCTCTGCCACCACCGTCTGGATTCGTCTCTTCTCACTCAAACGTGTCAGGTCATACGTCCGCCGCTGCCATCAACAGCAACATTACTGCTCCGCAAACCAACGACATCATGGCCAAGAAGACTGTCAATCCTCTTTACCCTGACCCCATTCTAGACAACACTCCAGATGTCGGGGGAGCCAATCTAGGTCTTGAATCTGGTGAGGGCCTTCTGACTCATGTTGCTCCCACCGACGCTGCTCTTGTCCGTACTCCCATGGAGACTGTTCCTGCTACTGTGAGTTCTTCTCTTCCTCGAAAACGGTCTCCTCTCCAATGGTCACTGTCATCTCACTCTGTCCATCTCAGCACACGCTAACAGATAACGGCAGGCAAACATGTCTGGCACTGCCACCGAAGGTCGTACCGATGCTTTTGCGATGGGTGTGGCCCCTGCCAATGATGGTCCTGCTGGCGCTGTTGCAGGAAACGATGTATCCAAGGTCGTCAAGAAACGTGGTCGGAAGCGCAAGACGGATGATGAGAAGAACAATACTGGCCCTGGGTCCGGCAACGACAAACCAGCTCCACGCAAGAGAGTTAGAGGTGCCATCAAGAACAGATATTACGGCCCACGAGTTGACACCAGTGAGACAGCCATTACCTCCGCGATCGAACCAATGCGGCTCCAAAAGGGAGGACGCAGCACCAGCCAGTCCATATCGAAGAGCAAGGACCCCAATGCTCCCAAGTGGACTCGCCGAATTCCATCTCTCCTCGACTGCACCGACCCCTTCATCTGTCCTGGTCCGGACAAGAACTGCTTCCACGCCTTCCAAAATACTGGTGGATACTGGCTCCACGTCGAAAGTGTCCACGGCTTCAAGAGAAACAAGGTCTTAGGCGACCCCGCGTTCGCGGATATCAAGGCAATCTTCGAACCTCGTCCGCAGTCCTGGTGGCTCTCCCAGGGACAGGATATCACATACCAGGGAGCCGACCGCAAGCAGATCAACGCTCGCCGTCGCATGGCGCAGGGGATTCGCAGCAACGACCCCAACTACGTCGAGGAGGTGTATGTGAAGACCCCTGCTTCTCGCGTGTCTCAGAATGGCAAGAACAAGACCGCGGCCAAGAAGGCGGCCAAGAAGTAGATTGTGTCGTCATGTGTTGGGAGGTCTTTTTCTTCTTTTTTCCGAGTACTCATGCTTGGAAAGATCGTGGGCGTGCTCTGTGAGGTGAGGGTGTCGTTGGAGCTGGGCAGTCTTGAGTGGTGTGAACAAGCGCAAGCTATGGGCTTGGCGCCAAGGCCAGCCATCGGTCATGAAGAGACTGAGCGGATAGCAAATGAACAATACGCATGACTCTTGCAAACATATTAATTTCCCGTCCCTCTTCCCTTCTCCTTTGCCACTAGCGCCCCGTCTATCACGATCAATAGCCGTAGTCGTGATGAGCAAGACGTGGCTTGACGTTGACGTTGGATCCCTCGATTGTATCGCGAAGAGCATGCAGAGTATGCTGGTCTTCACGCCGTGATTCAGCGACAGCGCTCTTTGCTGCAACTCATTCTGATCCACCGGGCAGGTACGGATCCTCCAGACAGTTACGTTGAGGTCGACGCTGAGTTACCTCCAACATCCCCTCCTCAGCCAATGTGCCCTTTCACTCGTCAATCCTCCTGCCCTGCTCGTCAAACTTCACCGCCTTCCCCGTCAGCAAACTCTCCTGCAACGCCCGTCCGATCTTCATGACCATGAAGCCGCTCTCCAATGGCACCGGCACCTCCTTGCCTTCGAGCACGGATGTGACAAACTCCTGGGCCTCAGTGGCGAAGGCGTCTTCGAACCTCTGCCAGTATTCCGGCTGCACCTCATGTCGCATCCCCGTTTTGTCCGCGACCACCACGTTGTTTGCCTTGGGGATCACATTGACCATGACTTTGCCCTCGGTGCCGCTGATTTCGGTGCAGACGTCGTGGCCGTGGGCCTGGGTGCGCGAGGCGTGGAAGTAAGCGATCTTGCCGCCGTAGAACTCGACAACGCCGACCCCATTGTCAACGTCATTACTCTCAGCCAGCTCCGGGTGATGCTTCAATGTGCCCACTGCAAAGCAGGACTTTGGCGCAGGGCTGTCCATGAACCACAGCGCAAGGTCGATGTCGTGGATCGTGCAGTCGACGAAGATGCCGCCGTTTCGTTTCGCGTAAGCGACGAAGAACCCCGTCTCGTCGAGCAGGTCGCATGTGTTGCTGCGGACCAGGTATGCATCACCGATGATGTTGGATTTGACCTTCTGGTATGCGTCGCGGTACGATGCGTCGAAGCGCCGCGAGAAACCGGCCATCACTTTCAGGTCGGGGCGGGATTTTGCGGCGGCGATCGCTGCCGAGACCTGTACTGGGTCAAGGGAAGAGTCAGTAGAGCATAGGGCGGGACTGGGGCACCGAGGGAATGGACGTACTTCGTTTAGATCCGTGCTCAATGGCTTCTCACACAGGACATGCAAACCCTTTTCCACGGCCTTGATCGTCTGGCTGGCGTGGACGTCCGTGCTGGTCGAGATCCAGACGGCCTGCAAGCCCGGATGGTTCAACATGTCCTCGTAGCTGTCGTACACCTTGATGCCGAAGTCGATGTAATCCTCGTTGGCGCGGGCCCATTCTGTCTCGTGAGGAGCCGCACTGCATACTGCGGCCACACGGGCACGGGTGACGCGGTTGAGCAGCGTTGCGACGTGGCGTTTGCCCTGTTGGCGGGGAGCGTAGTTAGGACGTCGACCCTCGCTTTAATGTTTTTAAATAGAAGAAGGTGGGAGTAGAGGGGAACGCAGAAAGACAGTGTGGCAGTCGCTCACCATGCGTCCCAAGCCGGCAACTGCAATGTTGAGCATCTTGCCATGAGACTCCCCGTATGATCCCATGGCTGCCCAGGACAGGCTGCGTTCTTGAGATGAGTTTTGTGCTGAGAATTATACCCGAGACCAAGCTGAATTGGAAGATTGTAGGTTATTCGGGCGCTGCGGGATGTAGTTGTTGGTTGTGAGCAAGGGCAATAGGAAGGGCTTTAAATAAATCTCCCGACAAGCAAAGCACAGACGGAGAAATTCACCTCAACCAGTTGGAGGAGGGTGAGTTAGACAATTTAGAATACGTGTTTGTGCTTTCCCTATAGGCTTACCAGATCTGTCTGGCCCTCTTGCCCTCTTGTGACGCGGGGGCCCAGACAGTGTATGAGCTACTACATGTCGGCCACAAGACGAGTGATTCGGTTGGGCTTCCGCTTTGTTCAGCGCAGCCGACGGGGCCTGGACGAGACCCTGCCGATCGATTTTTGTTTCTGTCCGGGGCGGCGGGGGTTTTTTCTAAGTGTAATCTATCCGGCACTGATGGAGTAGAAAGAGGAATTGTTCTCCGATTGGAGGCGGTGGGATTTTTTCGATCTCTAAAGTACCTGTTCAGGGAAACGACAATCTTTATTCTGGGTGTTTCAGAGAATACCCAGGGGTCTAGTTCTATTTCCCTCCTTTAGAAATAGTCTATGAATAATAGATTTTATAGACAAGGCCTGAACTTTCGCCAATGTCATCGCCGCGTGGCCCCGGGCGTGTAACGATCCTGAAACAGATCTAGCCATGGCACTCCAAACCCTTTCCGGTCTCCGATCTAACTAAATCTGAAATGCTCGCCCGCTATGCTATATCTCATGAGGAAACTTAAAGTCCATGTGGGCGGCGGGAGCCTCCCACCAACTAGGCCTCTCACGACTTGTCGGGGAAGCCAAAGTCTACGCCAAACGCAGGATAGACAAAGCGAGTGACGCTGTTCTTGGAGATTTCGGCTAGCGAGGCAAGATCACCCTCCGACAGCGAGACGATTTTCTTGTTCTCATCAATGCGAGAAGGTGTGACCGACTTGGCAAGGACGGCGCTTCCTCGGGCGATGTGATAACTCAGGAGAATGCAGCCTGGTGTGACTCCTTTCTCCTCGGCCAGCTTGACCACATGTGGATCTTTCATGAGGGGACTCCCCGTGCTCCCAAGAGGGCTGTAGGCAGTAATGAGGATACCTTTTTCCTTGCAGAAGTCGACAATCTCTTGCTGGGGGAGCAGCGGGTGGTTCTCGATTTGGTTCGTGGCCGGCATGACCTCCACGGTGGGCAACAGCTCTTCGAGATATCGCTTCGAGTAGTTGGCCACGCCAATTGCCTTTGTCTTTCCAGTCTTGAGCAACTTCTCCATGTCCTTGTACGTGTCGACGTGGGATCGGTCTCTGAGCAGGTCTCTGGACCCATCAGGCAGTTTGGGGAATTTCTCGTCGTTGCCGTTTGGGTTCATGGCGATGGGCCAGTGGATGAGATAGAGATCCACATAGTCGAGGCCCAGCAGCTTCAAGCTAATGTCCAGGTTCTGCTCCACCCTTGTATGATATGTGCACCACAGTTTGGTTGTGATGAACAGGTCGCTCCTAGGAATACCCGCTGCAGCCAACCCCTCCTTGATCCCCTCGCCCACTTCTTTCTCGTTCCCGTAGACGTAAGCACAGTCGATGTGTCGGTAACCTGACTTGATTGCATATGCAACGGCCGCGCGGACTTGACCTTCAGGGCTCTGCCATGTGCCTGCAGGTTTATGTTAGCCGTGTCCGACTCATGATTTGGAAGAGTGGATGAAACATACCCAGCCCCAAGGCGGGCATGGTGGCTCCGGTGTTGAGCTTGAGTGGCACGTCGACCATTGTATCAGGTGAGATGCTGTGGGATATGGTATTGTTCTCCTTGAGCAACTCGCGTATGCGAATATATTGCAAGTGACCGCGGTGTCTTGGGCGACGAGATGTTTAGTCTCGAATATGCGGAGGGGAAAAATATGTGACCGGCGAAAGATTTCCGATCTGGGACGAGCAGGCACCCCGCAATCTCGGTCTAATGCCCGACCGAGCCCGAGCTGCGGAGGGGTCCCAAGGGAGCATCTATTCCCCGGTTATACTGTGTCTGTTGTATGTGTCGCATTAAATTGCCTGTCTGATTATCGCAGCAAGTCATTCCTAGGTGGCACAACACTGACCCATCGTCACGCGAGCCATGGGTGCGCGCTTGGACGCCGACTCGGGGCCATTTGATGCGAGGTCGTGGCCTGGTGGAACCCTGTGTTGAACCCTCCCTGCCCCCTCATGCCCCTCTCATGCCCCTTGCCCACCTTCAGCCTCGCGCCCTTTCCTCTTCGAGGTCAATAGGGAAACTGCGCCCGGACCCACTTGCCTTGTCCTTCTCGCACACAATCCTTCTCGAACTTCTCCTCCTCTTTGTCTTCTTCTGCTTATGCTTTGTGCTTCAAGAAAAAGGACCCAGGTCTCACTGGGGCTCCGTGTGAACCCCCCTGTGGTGTGTGTGGCGATCAATTCGGTCAGCTCTGATTTCGAAACGACCCTTGTTCCCGCATGTGCATTCGAATGTCATCGTCGGTCGCACAACATGACACCCATCCCCGGGGGTTGTCAATAGCCCCCGGCCATGCAATCCCTCTCATGCTGTGTAACTCTCATTGTCAACATATTTACATTTTGTGATATATCATTTTTCCTGACTTCCTGTTTTCTCTCACCGACTTTGCTGAGCTCTGCTATGCCTACCTGTCTAGGTGTGGCCACCGTGAGAGAGACATCGGTATCGAAGGTTCGCGTTGTTGGGATGGCGAAAAGACAATGGCACTTGTTCGTAACCATGAAACCAACCTGGCCAGAATATCATCCACCCGAAGAAGCTCACCACGCAAGCAACTCCATCACTCTCATGATCAAATGAATCTTAAGTGCTTCGGCCCGCTGTCGATGATCAGGCTAGCGCCTCCTCTAAGCTCCGTCAGCGTCTGGCCTCTCGACTCCATCCTCCAGATCCGGTAACTTTCAGCTTTGAGCAGGCCACCACGTCGCCTCGCCTCGCTTTGGACTTATTGCAACAAACAAGCATGTATGTCATGCCCTTTGTGTGGAGCCAGGGTCCTCTCAATTTTTATCTCAATGTGTGAATTAATTGCTTGCTGGGTCATTGGACACCAACTCAGGTATGTCCCTGATAGTTCACTCTGTTTGCTCGTCACTACATCCAACAAGATCATCAGTCTATATTAACCTCTAGTCCTACTTCCGAATACCGTCTTTCTTCAGTCACACCTGTTTTCGTCGATCGTTTGAGTGACAGATTTCAGCTACCACTAGACTATCGCTAGAGGCATTACCAATCTAGGATATATAAATATCACCGCCGTCGGAAGACACCGTCCGTGCTATCCCACTTTCCGTCTTCATCGCTTGCAGTCCCTTCTAGCAAAGGACGAGCTGTAACACCATTACAGACACAGCGCTCTGTGCCACTTTTCAAAATGTCTTCCATCCTACTCGAACAGGCCTCTCACCCGTCATCCTTCCGTAACGACCGAGACGGTCTCGCTTTTGAGGCTCTTTGCGACGAGATCGAACGTGCCGACATCGTGGCAGACCAAGCTCTCCAAAAACAGCAGCTTTCAGCAGACGAGGACGAGGGCTCCAAATTCGACGCCGACAAAGACAAGACCAAGTTCCGTCAATACGAAACGGCCAGTGACCGGGTCAAGAACTTCTATCTCGAGCAACACACCAAGCAGACTGTCGCCTACAATCTCAAGGCTAGACACAACTTCCACTCCAAGACTCGCGCCGAGATGTCGATCTGGGAAGCCATGGAGCGTCTCAACGCCCTCATCGACGAGTCTGATCCAGACACCGAACTTGGACAGATTGAGCATCTCCTCCAGTCTGCCGAGGCCATGCGCCGTGACGGACGACCTCGCTGGATGCAACTCACTGGTCTGATCCACGACTTGGGCAAGCTCTTGTTCTTCTTTGACGCTCAAGGTCAATGGGATGTCGTTGGTGATACCTTCCCTGTCGGCTGCGCTTTCGATGATCGCATCATCTATGGCAACAAGTCCTTCGCTGCCAATCCAGACTTCGACAATCCGATCTACAGTACGAGGGACGGCATTTACTCACCCGGCTGCGGCCTTGACAACGTCATGCTTTCGTGGGGTCACGACGAATACCTCTATCACGTCGTCAAGGATCAGTCAACACTCCCTGATGAGGCTTTGGCGATGATCCGCTATCACAGTTTCTACCCCTGGCATCAACAAGGCGCATATAGAGAGTTCATGAATGAGAAGGACTACGAAATGCTCAAGGCTGTCAAGAAATTCAACCCTTATGATCTCTACAGCAAGAGCGATGAACGACCAAATGTAGAGAAGTTGAAGGTATGTCCTACCCATCTATTCTGTTGCTCCAAGTTCTGACATGTCATCACAGCCATACTACATGGAGCTGATCGATGAGTTCTTTCCAAAGAAGGTCATCAAGTGGTAAACTTTTGAGGCCGCCATATTTACCTTCCTTTGGCTGAATCACGAGCGAAACTCTTCTGTAGGGCGGGTCGTCTTAACGTGGTCGTCTCTTTCCCCGCTTCTCTCAGCGAAGTCGTGGTGGATTCTCTTCTTGATTTTGCTTTGCGTCAAATAAAGCCATAGAAATAGTCGACTTGAGCGTTGCCGGAGGTTGAGACTGCTTCCCTACTTTCTTCAATATGGACACAATTGTTCGAAAATCAGCGGGGATTGACGCAGCAATAGTTACTTTGACATCGTTCGCGATACTAGAGCTTAACGCAGCATCAAATGGAGTTTTTGGTTGGCGATTGTTGTCCTTCAATCGAGTCCGCTCTAGATTTTATCGGTATTGAGGATCTTTTCATTGTCCAATTTGGAGGGTGTGCGTACTATTTGAATTGCCGACAGCTGCGTGGGGGGATGTGACCACGCCAGAACGCAGTATACAGACTTCACCGACTCTCTAGGAGACGGAGGCGGGTCCGATCGGCAGCACCGGCACCGATGGAGCAGGCGTAAGATTGGCCTTGGAGGACAGAGCCTGCACTAACGGAAAAGACCTTGCATGTAGATAGAAGACCCTGCGTCAGTGGGTAGCACCTTGTCGATAAGCACTTGAACCTCGTATTATACGGACATTGCGGCAGATTATATAAAGACGTGACTTCATCCGCTCGTCTGCCATGCGATGATCTGCGGAGTTCGACGCACGAGAATTTCTTCCGCCTTGCATCAAAGGGTTTGTCCGTCTGACAAACCACGGGGGTGCCACAATCGATGCCGCAGCTGCACTGGGCGGTAAGTCTTTGTTACACAGCATATATAGGGCCATAACACCATGTCACCGGTCGAGCCACCGGTGTCAAAGTGACGTTGCACCGCAGTTAGCATCATACATTCGCCAAAACGTTTTCGGTCTTTGACAGCACTTTCTTTGCGGGGGGTTCACAGCAGCGCGAGCTCGAGAGTTTCGACGTGGCTCAGGCGCTGTCTCCCCGATCTGCCCCGGCTCGACTCGACGACGCACCGCAGCTCGACCGTTCCAGGAGGGTTCGGCTTATGCAACGGTCGAGATGGGCTCGAGAGACTGCTTCGCACTGAGTGGTTAAGACATGGAGGCCATTCCAGGTGGCGCAACCTCAGCAGAATCCTCGGTTTCTCGCTCCGACACGCCTCCCTCCCCGGTCACTGACCGGGGGTCTTGTTGCAGGCTTTCGAAGTCTGGGGAGGCATTGCTTCTCCAGAACAGGTAATTTTTCTCCGAGTGGTCTTTTTCGAAAGATCTTTGGGGCGATGAGAATGTTCAATAAGCATGCCAGCGTCAGGGTATCAGATACTGGATGAAAGGGGTCCACGCGCTCCAATGTTGAAAAAGATCGGACAACTGAATCCATTCACGCGGTCACGCTATGTGTTGGAGAGGTGAGGCTGAACCTCTCTTGAACTGACGGCTTTCTTGAAGCTACTCTTTGGGGACTTTTGAGCAAGAGTCTTTCAGCATGATTCGGTGCAGTCCGACATGGGCAAGGCTGATGAAAGTCCTCCCTCGGCATGTACCCCTGGCTCAGACAGCTTCTTCACAAATTCCAACCAGTCATCACCGGAGGGCTCTAGTTTCAAATTAACATATTCAGCAGTCGACCCCGTTCGAACACTGACACTGGTTCTCCCCCTAGAATCAAACATTCGACCTCTTCTTCGTATGGACCCGCAGTCAAGTCGGTAGGAAGGCTGTAGGCGAGTGAAGTGCTTAGGAGTGAAAGACACACTATGATTCAGCTTTTGGGAATGTCGTTACTACATCCGGCGTCTTTGTTCATTATGCAAGGGCATTAACCTCGCCACTTACCTGGAGAGCTTCACTCGCCGTGGTGGTGAGAAGTGCCCGGACAGCGAGAACAGGATCGATAACCCGGAAGTTCACACCTGACGCCCCCAAGAAGATGCCGCGTCATCAGCCAACAGTACCCGACCCGGGCATAATGCAAACAGGGATAGAAGAGTTCGTCAGCGCCACTGGAGACAGATGTGTCCATAACGACCTCGCCCAAAAAAAGCCACGACAACAGGGGAGAGGGGGAGAAGGGAAGAGGGAGGAAAGGAAAGATAGTACCAGGGAAACAGAACCTCCGTCCAAGCAGAAGCGAAGATCACACTCGCAGAACGGACAAGCAGCACCACCACCCTTAGGGACATAACGCACAGCCAAAACTTTGGTTAGTGTTGCTGCTACCGCCGAGGAAGTCGCTATCTATCGATAAGGAGTGGCAGGTCGATCGGGGTATTGTCCACAGCTTGTCTGAGGAGTTGTTCGATCCAGAGATTGAGAGATTGTTGGAACGTGGCGAAGAGAGGAGCTGGTGGGCATGGCTACAGTCGAGGCTGCACATAAAGGCTGATCTCGTGCAGATTGACGCCCTTGAAGACCGGAACGGTGAGAATGGTCCACAAAGACTTCGATTGGACCTCATCCGGCCAAAATTCCAGGGGTTTCGTAGCGTGGATATTGCGCCTGATAAATCCAGACGTCGGAAGCATGACCTAGAGCCATCTACCTGCTTTTGTGCGTCTCGACAGACTTTCCCCCTCTTGAAACAGCCCCGGCTCGAGACGCTTAAGGTACATAATAGGTAGACAAAATGCTATCAAATTTGAACCGTCAATCCCTTGTCTCTTCGATTAACCACCAAGCATACAATTAGGATACATGCCACCTGTTGCATGCGCCGCTTACGGATTGTTCAAGTTCATTGGGTCTCATGCTGGGGCCATTAGCCCCGCCTCCGGTTCCGAGCCCTGATTCACAAAGTGTCCATTCATTGCCGGGACCAGCTACCACTCCTGGCCCAGATATGCTCACGTTCAGCCCTGGAGGGGCCGACAAGCCTGGCGGAGGTCCGCTGGCCGAGAAGCCGCCAAACCCGTGGATTATCACCCGTCCAGTCGCAACCGACGGCGTGACCGGAGTGGTACTCCTGGGCTGTTCTGCTTGGTGCGGAAACATAGCCTTTTATATCCTCGTTGTTTGGAAAACGTGGCTTTGAATTCATCTTCCGACGTGTCTATGTGTAGATGGCCAACGTACAGCGTGTTGCACGGACGTCAGCTGGATTGACTGGTGGCTAGTTATGTGAGATATATGGTTGCAGAGACCTGGAATATGGTCCGCTTCGTCCATACTGAAGACACTGCGCATAAAGAGTTCGAGCCGGTACTTTAGATGGTAAAGAGCCGTAGTTGTTATAAGGTCCATTGTTCATGTTAGTTTTCAGCGAAAGAGCCGAAAACGCCTCCATAGGAAGTTGAGGGTTCGCGTACTCTTGGCGTTCGCTGGGCGTGGAGGAGCTATTCATGTATACAAGGGGATCTTTCAGCAGCTCCCCTGTATCAACACTTCCGCTATCTTCATTAATCACTTTCCACCCTCTCACAGGAAAACGATCCATCGCTGCTCTAGTCTCTGGAGACTGTGCCGAAAAAATGGTCCCTAAGTGCGAACTCGCTTCGGATGACACATGGTCAGGGGGAGATCCGAGTAGGGGAGAGGACGACTTGTCCGTTGACTGGAAGGTACTGCTAAATCGTAACGACTTCTGAGCAGCTGTTTGCGGCGAGACCAACCGTAAGATTTTACGGCTAGACATAAGATCCATTGTGTTACACCTTAGCACGGAGGCCGTCGTGGAACTGCGCAACACGTCGACAATCATTCTCACTTAGCCAGCCGCGTTAGGTTTGCATCAAGCGTTGCCTGCGCTTCAAAGGCGTCGGTCATGGAAGTAAACCGAGCGATGGCCGTGGTAAAGACAGCGTCTTCTTCATACGCCTTAGGAATGATCTCAGTGTCTCGAAGACCCTTTGCAAGAGGAGCATCGTCCGCACTGCCTCAGGAGTGGTGTTCCGCTGTAGACGTCGCAGTAAGACTGTGTTGGGAGGGCAACTGTGGTCTCTTTGGCACTCGATATCCGTCGATTAGATGCTGTGCCTTTTATGCCCACTGGATCAACGTCGATCCCCACCCGGCTTTGTAGACGTCTTCGCGGGATTTTTGAAGTACTGGATTCTGTACCGCGTAGTAACTCTTCCGGATGAGAGCGTGACAAGAATGCTGGATGTGGGCTTGGCGATCAAATAGGGGTACCATTGCCTTGATCACGTCATGATAATCCGGGACACCGACGCTGTCGGCCTGGAGGACTTGCTGGATCTGTGACAGGATCGATTCGAGCGGGATGAGATAGATCTCTTCATCGTCTCTGGTACAGATCACTCTATCGGTTCGGCTTCAACTAGAGACCACCCAAGGGCCGCAATCCTCCTGCCCCAAACCTAAAGCTCGCATCAGTAGAAAATCAATAAATTGCCTCAGGACCGTTTACTACAGCCTTCTGTAATCCTCGTTGTGTATGCTTCGATAAAGTTCGTACTTCGTGGTCGCAGAAGGAAGGGTGGGGTGAGGTTGGCGGTAGCCAGGAAAGACTCGCGTGCTCCACTCATTATAGAAGCTTGTAAGATTCGACAAGATGGAGGGGGTTCTTCAGAGTGGTGAAAGAGCAGACTTCCCCAGGGGGTGACATATCCTTCAATGGGGAAAATAGATTTGGCCACAAATACACAAAATCATTCAATTCCACGAGCGCCCAGTCTAAGTTCTCCAATCTTTGAAGCTGCTGGTGAACAAATCCGTCATAGTAGACAAGACGACCAAAGGGCTTCCAGTCATCGGGTCTTGAGTCTGGTGGATTCTTCGAAGCCTCATGGACCTCGAGTTGGGTAAAACGTGAGCCATTCGATATCGGGGAGAGGGCATCAACATTCTGCGGTGAGCGACTCTTCAACACAGACTTAACGCCGTGTTCCGAATCGATATCACGGTCGGGGATCGAGATTAGGCCATTTGACTCTTCGTCGCTGTCGCTCGAATCCGTGGAATCGACCTGATCGGGTTCAGACCGCGAAGTTCTCCCATCATTATCCCCGCCAGTTACAATGTGGGCGAGAGTCAATCCATAGAACTGTGAGTGGTGGTTCGTTTTGATCTCGATCACGCCTCCAAGTCTGGCGACTGATATACGTCCCTGGTAATGGCATCGAATTCTCGCTCCGCAGAGAGTTTCAGTGATCGCCCCCGAGACGATTTCGATATCTATTCCATCTGTGTTCTCGTCACTGAAGCGGGCTGGAGGGTGCTCTTTAACTATAACGTCAAAGCGAGGAATTATTTCATCATTGGTGGGCCTGATTTGCTCTTGGTTGACTATCTTAGAGAGAAGTTTGCGAACCTTCTTTGCCATCGACTTATTACAGGAGATCACGATTTAGGGTTGCATCGCCTCTTCGTCCCGTCCGTACACTTTTAATTTGGCGCCACATGGCCAACATGGCGGATCTAGATTATTTGCAAGATCCACTCACTGTGGGCTTAGTATTTGCCACCAGTCGAGAAAGCGATTGTGCTCTACCTTGGTTGGCTCCGCTGAATGGTAGGCGCGCTGAGAGGCATCTTCGACCCAAATAGTCTGGAGACTGCAGAAGACTTAAACTAGGTTCAGCTGACGTGAGGTCTTAGCAACTTCCAGATCCTGTGCTGTAGCCCGAATCTCGATTAATTAGCGAGGTCGGCTTTCCCAGATCTTGCTGGCCCTGATGGGATATTTGAGGGGGAAGCTGGTAGTCGATTGAGTTTTGTTTGGGTGCCTGACGACCTTTGTGTGAGTCCGAGAACAAAGCCATTGTTTCCACCACGGGGGTCATGCCCCCAGGCAGAATGAAGAAAACAAAGACGACTTTGAGAATGTCGAAAGAGATCTTTCAGGATGATTCCTGCTACCGAGCCTGCAAGGCTGAGATTTCAGTTGCACCGAGAGCGCCATGCCGATATCTGCTCTGGCCCGCCTAGCGTGACGCAGCAGGATCCTGCCACTGCCATTGGGTTCGCCAATCTGTGTTGAAAAGGCATCTTGGCTAGGTAGCGCACGTTCAGGGGAATTGTCGCGTGGTCACCCTTAAGAATTGTAGGCAGCGAAGGACACCATAAAAGTTTGACGCAGGATGTGCCAGTCGGAGAATGTATCATATTTGGAGCGAGCTCTTAACGCTTGAGAATGCCGAAGCCAGCTTCAATTACGAGTTTGGTATTGGACCGTGATGCCCAACTCATTGACGCGCTATGGGAATGGTCAACTTGTGCGGAATGTCAAGGAAAATCCAAATGTGTCCAGGGAGTGTGTCCAGTGGATCGATTGAGGCGGTTGAGGTCATTCCTGCGATACTTTCACTTTCTCGTCGATGACTATGGACTTAAAGCGAGCCAGAGACATCCTACCGCGACTCCGACAAGCTACGACGAGTTGTTCAAACTCATCCGAGAGTTGAAGTCCAAGTCGAATGCGACAAAAGATCAGATAGCTCCTGTATTTTTCAGCCAGCTGCCCTCTTCGACGAGACAGTCTGCTGGAAAAACATTGAAGCCTGAATTGAGGCTCTTGTTGATGGTGGATTGTTCCACTAGTCCCCTCAATACCTTTGACGAGCTCGAGGCTGGAGACCTCCAGCCACCCTGGCATGGAGATGTAACACTGGAAGATTCCTCTCTTCCCGGTTTCCTCTAGGAGACAATCCGATCTTCTCAGACAACATTGAAGGCGTAAATCAATCGTGCAAGGCTTTGAGGGCGAGAAACTTACAAGGGCGGGTTCATCTGAGATTTCGACCCACTGACGACATGAGCCGCCATCTATATTTGGACCGGAAGACCTGCACTATCGAAATATTCCTCCACACATCCTTCTCGAAAGAGTATCTTATTATGGCGAAGCCTGGGGTGCTAGGAAATGGAAACAGGTCTGTTTTTACCCTCTGGACTTATGCTTCTATTTTCCGCTGACTACCTAGATCGAGCTCCTCAGCTAGCAGGCCAATCACCTCGATCAAGTTGAGGAGCTAACACTGGGGTTGTAGATGTGTTATGCCTCGCCAGTTGGCAATGGAGGTTATCGACACTATTCGGAAGGTCTTGTTCCCCTTCTCAGACAGCAAATTCATGCGAATTCTCAAACGACTCGTCACCAAGTCAGGATTCAGTCCCGATTGCCTTCGTTTCGAATCCGAAGTCCTCCGACCTCAAGACGAGAAGGATTTATGCTTCCAATACTTCGGCGAGCGCCTTACGCTGCTGCTGGACGAAGTCGAGAAACCCCCCCCCCCCCCCCGGCTGGTGTCGTGGAGAGATGGGTTGAGCGAAAGAGCGGCGCTCGCTATGTCATGCTTGCAACGCTAATTGGTGTCATTTTCACCATTTTGTTGGGACTGACAGCCCTAGCGTTGTCCGCTTACCAGACGTGGATTGCATATCAAGCGTGGAAGCATCCGGTGACGCCCTCATAGCTGGAAAGTGCATTCAGCTTTTCGGACGCACCGCGAGGCAAAGGTTGTAGAGCACACTCTCGAGGCGCCTCTAAGGCACCTACCACCTACCTACGACCTGGGTGACAGGTGCATTGGAAATTACATGGCATGTACCTTCCTTCGCACTCGACACCGAGGCGCCTAGTTGTTTATCGATATATTACAACTTTCATAGAGAATACAGTGCAATGAACAAACGGACACTGCTCCCAGAACAGTTGTTGGAGGCTGTGCTTTGCTAATTTGACGATGACAGCCTGCTCGTCCCGTTGTGCACATGTTACGATGATGAAGTTGGATGAGAGGTCTGGAATGTGCTACAGTAAATGCCATTCCACCTGCAAGACGCATCGGACGTGTCAAGGACAGTGCACCGCGAAGCTGGTGAGGCCCTGTACAGCATGCCAGTCATATGACTGGCATTCAAAGAATCTAACTTGGGTGGTTCACAAGATATCAAATTACTCGTTTTATTAACCTACTCGCTGAACGCCGTTTTGACTAGAAGACCAAAAATTGTTTGACCTGCAAAACCTCCTCTTGCATATATTCTACCTTGGCCAGTCGCGATAATCGCTAGATTATCCCGGAAAGGGTCTCTGAGATCTAATTGCCATACATTTAATATCATGACTGGAGGTTGGCCAGTGCAGTCAACAGAAGCGTTGGGCGCGGTCGGAAAACGCCCTTACGCTCGAACACACCATCGCCTAATTCTTTCAGAGATCGTATTGTACCACGCCACTGTATATACCGTCGGGTGAACTAACCACTACATCGCCTGGCTTGGTGGTTAGGGTGAGGATAGCTAATGGCAAGGCTAGTAATTGTAAGGTGGTAGAGGGCGCTTGTTGGCGAATCAGTGCCAGGCGATACAGTGGTGCCAATGACACCAAGTTGGCGGCTATTGGCGGCTAAATACTTTTGAAATAATACAAGTGTCCTGAACTGGCGAGGACAACAAACACCTCGCAATCTTTTCTTTCTCGAGGCCTCGCCCAGAGGGTCTGATTGAGCAGAAAAGGTTACTAGAGATGGTCAAATCGACGCAAATAGCCCGGCTGGATGGTTCGTGGTGTTTTTCAACCTTTCATGCAACAGCGCAGGAAATTGGCTGACCGGTCCGCCTCCTCTACAGGCCTCATGCTTGCGGCCTCGGTCGACGACGAGCAGGTACGCATGGTTTAATGCCTCTCCAAGACTCCGATTGTAGCTTTCGCTTACTGCTAGAGTGACAGGTCGAGACAGAGCTCGCCGAGGTCAAGTCGCAGGCAAAGATGATATTCCGCAGGCTGAATCGCAATTCGGAGCAACAGGCAAGCATTGAATCAGGCCAGTACATGTTGCAGTAAGCCAGCAATTCCCTGCACAGGAAGCCAGCTCACTCGTGGCCCAGCTACATCATCAAGGACTCCGTCTGCTTCCTCTGCATCTGTGACCGATCTTACCCCCGGAAACTCGCCTTCACCTACCTCTCCGATCTGGCGCAAGAGTTCACCACCATCTATCCCTCACAGCAATACCTCTCCGCGACATTACGGCCCTACGCGTTCGTCGAGTTTGACACGTTCATTCAGAGGACGAAAAAGACATACCAGGACAGTCGGGCCAGCGCGAACCTGGACAAGCTAAACGACGAGCTGAAGGACGTGACGAAAGTCATGACCAAGAACATCGAGGATCTGCTGTATCGGGGCGACAGTCTGGAAAGGATGGGCGAGATGTCCGGCCGATTGAGAGAAGACAGCAGGAAATACAGGAAAGCTGCCGTAAGGATAAATTGGGAGTTGATGCTGAAACAGGTACGTTACAAGGTTGCCGGTTGAGGGTTTTCGATCCTGACGACGACGCCAGTATGGACCCTTCGCTGGCCTCGGCCTGATCATCCTCATTTTCATTATCTGGAGATTCTGGTAACCGGAGCCTCCCTGACGAACTCTGGTTGGTTTGTATGGATAAGCGAGCATACGATACCCTTTGGGACTTTTACGTTGAGGCGGACGACCACTCCTGTTGCGATTTGGACTGCCTGTTCTAAGTCAGCTTCCGTACCTGCTTAGATCTCGTCCTCTTCCTCGTCAAAGTCATCCTCAACACCCATGTCGTACAAGATCCGCCCACCCTCACCCGCCCCGCCACCCGCTTTTTGAGCATCAAAATACGGCAGCACCACGCCTTCTCGCTCCAGGCGTTGCCGCTCTGTCAAAGCCAGGTTGAAGGTCATGTCCGAAAGCTCTTCCGACGTTTCTTCCTCTGATCTGCGGAACAATGGGTGATCATCGAGTAGGGTGACAATCTCCTGAAATGGCTGGCCCTCTCCCTTCTTCGTGGCGTTCCGGGATGCCGGCAAGAAGAACCACTCTCTGACTCCTCTACCACTTCTCCTGCGGTGCTCCAATTCCAACACAATCCCGCGTTCCTCCTGATTCAATTTCGTCAAGGACTTCGGCTTGAGCCCAATTACCACGCCATCGACTTCTTCCGAGAGGCCAAAGGACGGTGCGGCGAGGGATTTCGAACGGGCAGACTTTTCGGCGAGGAGAATCGGAAGGGAATGTATCGTTATGATGGTGGTGGCGAGGTATGACAAGAGTGAGAGTGGTGAAGGCGAATAGGAGTTTAACAGCGCGGCAGGCGGTAGTGCCGAAGGAGGTGGTGACGGGAGGGGGACGTCTGTGTGATAAACCGCGACTAGTGAGATTTGTGGACCTTGATCCTGCTCCAGGCCTTTTATCTGCAGACCCGGTGGCTGGAGAAGGGAGGACAGGAACGCGGTCAGGTTGAGATTCGATGTTGGCCGTATAGAGAGGGATGCCAGTGTCGTTAGGGAATCAATCATGATCAAGAACCCTGCGCGTTCGCCCTGAGATTAGTATCACGGACCCTGTATAACGGACACAGTACGTCGGCCTCCACGAAAGCCGGGAGTAACAAGACATGAGAAAGAAGGACGAAGGAAGACAGAACGTACTCTTCCCGCCGCTCTGCCGAAGAATCTCACCCACCTCCCTCGCAATCCTCTCTCCCACCCCTTCGCCCATCCCTCCACTTCTCCCCGGCCCTCCCATCCCTCCGCCTCCAACCGCTTCCCCGCCGCCACAGAACCCGTAACAAGGCACGAAATAGTCCACACCGTCAGGTTTCGCGAACGTCTCGAATCCCAAAAACACGACGACGACGACGCTCGCGCTCCCGCTCCCCGCTCTCGAAGAGGAAGAGGAGAGTGGCCGTGCCCGTGGCCCCGCCCGCCGCAGGTACTCGCGCGTCAGCAGAGGTCGCGCGGGCTGCTCGAGCGTGTCGAGCAGGAGTGTGAAGGGCGAGGTAGGTTGTGCGTGAGGGGGTTGTGCGAGAGAGAGAAGCTTGGAGATTAGGAGGAGGTTGTGGGTGCGGCGGTGTGGGAGGGTTGGGGCGGGGGACATGGTTTTCCCTTCGTTTCTGTATCTTTTTGGTCTTCGGTTCTTTTGGTTTTGGTCTCTCCTCTGATCTACTCTTGTTTCTGCTTCTGGACCTTTGGGTGGGCCTTTTCTTGAATTGTGGCAAAAAGAGGATGAGCTAGTTGAATGGAGAGAAGAAATGGGTTGACAGATGGGTATATCTTATATCAGAAGAGGAATTATGAGGGGGTTTCAGCCTGATCCAGAAACAAGGATGTCTCAATCAGGCTCGCTCGTGTCGCTCCAACTGCCAACCAATTTTGGAAAATCTTCTCAGGCGAGCAACAACATCATAAACACCACTGCCGCCGTATTTGACATGTCTTGCTCGCTCAATGATTGATTGATTTGATGTCGACGAGGAGGACTCGTAGAATCGGTCTAAAAATTTCCAGAACAGAATATGTCCCTTCCTGCTTAGTAAGGCGGTTCTTGGCGCCATGGTGTGCGGATCCATCGAGCTATATTGGCCATACCAAGGTTAGGCGTTACGCGGTCTTGTCTATCCGCATCCATGGACATCTTTGTTCGCGTCAATCGACATGTATTGAGACATGGCGTTGGGTGATCCGGGTAGTCATTGCAGCTTTCCCAGATGTCCGCAAGCAGCAGTTTCCGGGCCCCAGGTCTTCAAGCCAATCGCGCACGACAGGATCCCTGACCAGTGACGAGAATGGCTTCGTCAATGCACTGCTCGTTTGTTGCATGGAGTTGAAGCATTATCCAATGCACCAGCGCTGTCCCTGCCCGCCATTGACCCAGCTAGCCTTGGCCAGTTGGAACTTGCCATGCGCGACGTTTTGCTTCATCCTCTCCACACTCGGACCGGATTCATACTTTGAACACCATAGCAAGACATGGTAGTTTGCATAAATCACATCAGACTCCTTTCTTTCGTCTGTGGCCGCTTGGTCCGCGTCGTCTTCTGCACCTTCCTGTTCGATGAGGATCACACGCTCGTGCTGTTCACCGCCGTACCTTTCCTGAGCCACCAGGAACAGCTGCATATTCGGCCTGGCAAACGGCGTAAAGCTCCAGTCAAGAGGGTCGACATTGAGAGCATACATGGTGTCGTTGGAACTGTCGCAGTCCGAGCTTCAGAAAAAAAATGCAGGTGCCCCTCTCTTCTGGGGATGAGCATTCCCTGGTGCCGCCTTGGTCGATGACATATCTTCTGGAGAAGTCCGGCCTCGTTTCGAGTCGCCAGCCTCGGTAAGAGACCAAAAGTCCACGTTCCGGCTTCAACGAGGCCGGGTGTCTTTGGTCGTACACAATCATTGTGTCTCCCCTGCTGTCCAGATCTGCCGGAGCCCAGCGCATTCCCCGTTCGGAAAATCGGTCGCCTTCGCAGAAGACCATACTGGAAGACAAGTGTGGAATGGCTGCGAGCAGTACTTTAAGTTTCTGTCTTGAGAGACGGCTAACTTCACTTTCGGTCGCGCTAGAATCAACCCTCCTCCGCTGAACGGCCGCCAGCGTGTCGGAGTCGACGTCATTGATTAAGCCAATCACGAGGCATCGGTCTGTACTGGGGGTCGTGGATCTTCGGCCAGCCTCGTTCCACGAGAGCATGAACCGAAATCGCGCCCCGCGAGCACCGCGCATTCATTGCAGTACGCTGAGACAATTATCCCACACAGAAGAGCACTCCACTAGACCCAAGGTGCCAAAGACATGTCTTTTCCCTGCCGCATTTCCGCATTTCTTGGGGCCGGCGACTTGGCAAGCGTTATAAGATCATTGAAGCGTTTTGAAAGACCCTGCAGGTCAACCATCCCCGCGGTAGTCTTTACCTTGACGTTTTCAGCGACGGCGCCCTCATGCATGGTCCATGGGCGACGTAACCAGCTAGACAACGTCAATCGCATCCCAAATTCCTGCAGACTCGGTTCCCTGCTGATCGGCTCGAGGCCCGAGTCTGCAATTAGGGCCACCGCTGCAGTCTGATAGATCTCCGACATGCGTAGGATCGCCTTAGTCCGGAGCCTGTACATGTGATCGTCATCTCCTGGGCCTCGACGGGCGCAGAAGATGTCAAACCAGAAAGGCATGATTCCTGCGAGCTTACCGTGTGACGGAGGGTCCGTGTCGACACGGCACCCTTGCGCGTACCTCTGCAGTTGGAGCCATTGACAATGTGAGAGCCCATTGCCTTCCAGGTTTCCGCGCCCATTGGCCCAGACGTGTGAAAAGGCAACAAACTGGCGGCCGTTTTGAACAGCGTCTAGCACTTCGAACTCTAACCCCCTTTGATCCCCATCTGCGGACAGCGAAGCGAGGCGCAAGCGGACAACAGGAATGCCGCCATCCTCAACGATGCCGAGCATGTCGCGCCACGTCCGCTCGGGCAGAAGTTCCGAACAGTGACATTCCTCTGCCCCGTGCTTTCTCTCGTAAGTCGTCGGGTCGAGGGTAACGGCATCGCATCGCATCGCTCTCCGTTCAGGCGTCGTGCCCATATTTTCTTTTACCCTCGTTCAGAGGCTTAAGGTCAACGCAAGAACCTAGAATCCCCAAATCGGTCTGAAACCTGTAAACGTCAAGCTTGCGAAAAACGCGAGCTGTAAGGTGATCTTTCAGTCCCGGAGGGATGTACCAGAATGCCGGTCGCGGATAATCGTGACTGTCTTCGCTACCGAGACCCAGGCGGAGATACACCGTCCGCGCGGCATGGTGGAGGCTCTACCGCAACACCACGATGGCGAGTTCCAGACTGTTGGGGAGGATTTCTCTGCCGTGTTTACGCCAAAAGTTCATTTTACGAGCCCTCGCGGCCACGGGAAGATGATCTCGCGCCCGGCTTGATTCCCCGGGAACAGGGGCGGTCTGAACATACTCGGTTCTGGATGCTAGAGTGCGGTCCGACATAGCTCTTACCTTGATTTTGACCCACGATACGCATTTGACACCGTTTGCGATGCATTCTCTGGCTTGCTCAGCAGGCATCTCTTCCAAGCGAGCTTCGCATGCATCAACCTCGTTGCGGAGGAGGTCAGTGTTTAAGACCTGCCGTCCTCTACCGTCAGCTTTGAAAAAAGAGTCGACGTCCACTGGGCGAAGCAGACATTCGCGCAGCAGGCCAAAGTACAACCATGACTGGATGAGTGAAGCGTAGACAGAGAAGTCCTGGCATTCATCGGCATGAAGAGAACTGGTTTGAGCTCCACCGTCCGCACGATCGGAAGAGCTGGCTTGTGTGTGAAATCGAGATGTCGTCGGGACTCGGGTGATCAATACATCGACACTTACACCAATCAAGCCTAGCGATATACCTGGGGTACTCATCCCCGATGTTGCGGGAAGCCCCAAAAGCCTTGGTCATCATAGGGGATGGCGTGGGTCCGGTTTTCAATCGCAAGAAGCTCGTTGAGGAGAGTTCTGTCGTCAAAGACCGAGGGTAGATGCTCCATTCGGACCACTTTTTCGGCCATAAAATTTATCGCCTGGGGTAGATTTCCTGTTTCCTGGTGAATGCAACAAAGCATGTACTTTCTCATAGACGCAAAAATGTTCTCCAGGATCAGTCACAAAGACCAAGAGTTGAGGGAGGCATCTATGTACAAGCTAGGCTGCACGAAACCAGCAGCTGTCAACTCTTTCTTTGGTTTACGTGCTTTATGAACAGACACGACGGGCTCGACTGTGCATGTGTCAATAAGAAAGTCTGCTGATGATTCAAGGACTCAATTCGTTGATTTTGGTAACCGCAGGAAGGCGAGAAGGGCTGTCGAAGCTTGGAGAGATCAACTCGTGGGGACGAACGTCGCTGCTTTTAGCCCCAAAAACGCCTCGACCTCCGCGAATGGCATTGGGGCCTGCATCCAGATTGACCTCAACCGACTACCTTGGGCGGAAAGGTTCTGAAATTCGTCTGGGTTTCATTCGCTTGGCCGGGGAAGGTCTCTTCGTCACGTATAAGCGTATCATTGACAGCAAGAACATGTCTGTGATACAAACCCACTAGTTTTACTGAACTGCTCCCTAGAGCTTGGGTCTGGATGCCGTAGAAGGACAAATCCTGCTGCGTCGTTCCTGGACTAACGGAGGTGTTGCCGTGACTGAAATACACGGCGCTTCCATTCTGGGCCGTTATCAAGCGACTCCCGCTGAATATTGGGTGCGCACCACGTCTCCCAACCTCTTCTGGATATATCGGATCGAACCACTCCAGGCATGGTGGGAATACCGAATGGCCGCGAATCTCAATATCCTGACCCCTTCTCAGAGCTGCGGAGATGAAGAGAGTTCCGGCGCTCTCGTCCTGCACGATCGTGCTGTTCACAGAGAGTGGATAATTAAAGGCACGCGAATAGCCTTCTGATGAGGCGGCCCTGCCAAGAGTGTTCTGCCGAGTGACCTGAACATCTCCGAAGTCTGATATATTACCCTCGTTCGAATATGCCAAAGATTGCCGCCAGACGGCCACTTTGGTGCCATGAGAGGTCTGGACCTCCGACGAAATAGAGAGTTGGCGATCCACGTCGACGGTGTAGGACAGGGTGCAATTTGTCCCGTTCGATGTGGTGCCGACTGCGGATGACAAGGCGATGGAGTAGGCGGACACATTCGCCATAGGATAGCTTCCGGTCGTTACGGATCCCGCGCAGTCCAACCAGATGAATATTTTTCCCGTAAGAACCTTGGGGGAATAATTAGCAGAGCGCCCGCTGTCGCTGAGTTACGCCTACCCAATAGCTGCCCACCGACTCGGATAAAAGACCAGTGCGATTGTCATTATCATCAATGCCAACGACACGGAGCTCGAAGGAATGGCTTTCACCGTCGCATAGCAACGGTAGCCAGGGTGTTATGTCAATTTCATCTTCACGAATGTCGAACGCATCAATGCCCACGACCGGCCTCCAAAAGCCGCGGACGATGCCGCCAGTGAAGATGATGGGGAAAGGCCATACAACTCCGGCCAAATTGCCGTCAATGAGCAGTTGGATCTCCCGAAAGGGAGAGTAGCCCGGGAGCGAGTCGGCTCCAAAGGTATGAACGTTCGAAGAGAGCACATTGGAATACCAAAACTCTGCATGGCCATCGTCAGCCAGGATGCTGCTTTCGTCTGATAGCCAACCCACCTTCGTCCATTTGACCGGTCGCAGAGACCGTGAAGACCGCCCGCTCGATGTTCTGTGGCAATACGAGCGTGTTCAATGCTCCACCATAATGATAATTCCAGGCGCTGGACTTGTTGCTGGCGCTTCGTCCGGCTGATATGGGAACGATTAGATCTGCCGATTTTTCCGTGTCAGCGGTCGTGAAGAAAGTTGCCTGCAAGGTGGCATTGAATGGTGAGGTGTAGTTTTCGTTGATGAGGTTGCCGAGGTCAAAGATTAGCGTTTGATTGTGAGTGAATAGCGACAAGAGGTGGGACACGTCTTTGATATAGGTCCATCTGGTGTCGATCAGAATGGGGGATAATAGACTGAGTTGAATAGCTCACATGATGCCATTGGGAGTCGGTTCCGCTGTGCTGGTTCGCCAGATCTCAATATCACCGAAGTAGGCCACTGCCAGTCGATCAAATTGCTTGCCAGCGGCTGTAACGGTGAGGTTGAGCGTCACTCTATTGAAAGAGCATTGGGGAGGCGTGTAGGGGCCGACGTAAGGATGGCCATAGCTGTTCGTGAAGGAGTGGACCATAAGGGTCTGAGTGACGGTACATCCTGGGACCTGAGAAACAAACGACCCAGAAGAGTCCCTTTCGTCTTGAAGCAATGTCCTGTGCGAGATGGTTTCCGGCGTCAGTATGGGAGGGCTGACTTGAAACACCCTTAGGACTGAAGCCACGACGGCAACTATTGATTGAGTGGATGTCCTCATTCTGAAGCAGCGACGTCGCCCAGATGTTCAATAGTGCAGTAGTCCTTTCCGATGTGCTGGACCGCCGGTGGCCTGGTCAGGGACTTTCTGATAAAGTTGACAAATTTGGTGTCGTTGCATGAAATCGGTGCACCGCCGAGCTTCTCTGCTTTCAAATGTCTGCCACCAAACTCTCAAGCGACGCACGGGACAGATACAACGCCACGAGAGCTGTTCGCTGTGGCATGTCTGACTCGGTAAATCAACAGATTGACTGGGACATACTTCGCTGGGAGCATCCGTATCCAGACTGTAAGCTTGACGTCTGTATAGCTGCTGAACGTGAATAATAATACGAGTACAAAGCAAGGAAGCCGGTGCGACATTTCAAGTGCCTACACATCGAGCTGAGGAATAGATTTGCATCGTTTCGTCGAATGCGCCGCCCGAATCTCCCTGCGCCTCGTCCGCCTCAACCCTTCGAACTCGCACTGTCGCTCAATCCGCGATACACACGCTGCGCCCAATGGCGCCGATACCTGCGCTTGAGCATGTTTCCAACCCCCTGGTCACCTCTGCACAGCTCCTCACGCTCAAAAGCCTGGAGAACGACGACGACCTGTCCACATGGTTTGCCCATTTCCAACTGACCTCCGCCGCCGGCATCCTCCTCCGCCTCTCGCAGGAGGTCACTGCCCATGCCATAGTCCTGCTTCAGCGGTTCTTGGTATCTTCCAGCCCGAACGACCGACGAAGTTTCAGTCTCAAGAACTACTCCGCCGCTGCCATCTACCTCGGTGCAAAAGTGTCCGCCACACCCGTCTCGCCTCGATCGGTCATTAATGTCTACGCCTACCTCACCTCAAAAGCCTCTCCGCTGAGATTTGTGAACCCGGCTGGGCCCTCCACGAATGTCGAGCCTCAGTCTTACTTCGTGTCGGAAGGGACCTATGAACGAGAGAGACAGCGGTTATTTGTGTGCGAGAGTATGATATTGATCGGCCTCAGCTTCGACACGCGAGTCGCATTGCCGTACACTCTCGCCTTAACTTACATGCAGGCCCTGGGCGTTTTTGCCACGAATCTGTCGCAGAGAGTCTTGGAACATTTGAACGCAGGCCTGGTCTCTCCGCAACTGCTTCACCTCACTCATCAACCAAACGCACTGGCGGTGGGAGCCATCTATCTCGCGGCACGAGAGATGGGGGTCAAGCTGGTGGAGCGCAATTGGTGGGAAGTATTTGACGTTGACAGAGAGGACCTGGGCTTCCTTGTCCTGTCTTACGGAAGTATGGCGAATTTCGCCCAAGCTGAAATGGAGAAGTGGAAGAACGGGCCTTTGCCATTGGATTGAGCTCCTAATGCTCCGTCCACGAGCAACAGCATCTTCGGAAAGAGTCATCTCTCAATCGTCCAAGCTTTCCCATCCTGAGTATCGGGACATTTTCTCACCAACATGACTGGCAGTCCTAACCCCTTGCCAAGGTGGTGTTCAACAATGGTCCATCGAATGGTTAGCGCAAAGCCCGAAATCAACATGTCCCGTCGAGATCATCACGCCGGATAGGAGGCTACTAGGCCGCACACCTTTGCCTGTACCATCGCGGCCGCCTAGTCGAAAATGCCTCCTTTAACATCTTCGAACACCGCCGTCGCATCCTCAAATCTCTCACCCTGCGTCCGCTTCTTCACGCACTTCCTCCACCAAATTGGGGCTGCCCGGCGAAACTTCTGCAGCTCATTTATAAAAAAAAACTCCTGAACACTGCTCGTGCACCGCAATCTAATTTGTCGGTCATACTCGTCGCGAAGTTCCTCCAGGCTCTTGAACCTCTTCTCGAGAAGCCCGTCGACGATCTTCGACCCCGCGAGGATTATCTGGTCTGCCTCCCATCGTTCGTGTCTGCGAAAGGATTGCATATGGCGCTGGACGAGTCGCTCTCCATACTTTCGAATGATGGCGTAGTTGTAGCGTTCCGGCAAACGCTGACCCTTAGCTTGCCGTTTGTTCTGCTTTCTCTCGGCCTCTCTGTCTTTGGTCCGTGTCTTCACTTCCTTGGCTCCGGGAGTCGAATTCGTCTCCTGGACAAAATCGTCACTCTCACTTTCAGCACTGCGTCCCCTTTTGTGTGGCGAACGTGCAGGAAAGTGGCCAAAACCATCCCGTTGTCGATGAGGAACGGGAGTCATTTGGGAGGTGGTGTTGGAGTTCGAGCGATAGGTCGACGGGGTTGGGTAGGACTCTGGGCGGGGAAGCCGGCTCGTCTCGTCGGAAGGCTCAAGGACGGCATGCTTGGTGCATACCAAGTAGGTCGGCGTGGTCACTGAATCAAAGCTAGCCGGAGCTCCGCTATGGTCCCCTCCTGACAAATTAGCGGCTATGCCATCTCGCTCAACCGGGTGCAACAGAGGGCCGACTTCCTCTCGCATGACATGTCGATCGCCCACGGTCGAAGCGCTGGTCGCCCCGCCGAGCCTGGGATCTGAGAACGGCTCCTCTCCTGCTGCGATTCGCCCAACCGCGGTGCCGTCGCCAACTGGCTCTGGCTTCACTTCGGCCTGACCGTTGTCCGCGACGGCTTCAACTTGACTGCATAATTTGGCACGTCGCAGCCGAAGTTGGAGCCTCTTCCGATCCAGATCCAACTGGCGCTGTTCCATCTCCAGCTGCTCCAGCTCGGTGTCGATGAGCTGTTTGTCGTCCATCGCCCGATGCGGTCGGGGTGTGGCTGGCGACCACCTGATAGAGTTGTGGCTAGGCGAGGTGGAAGTGAGAGGAGGCGTGGTCAGTGTCGACAGCCACGTTGGGAGTCTGGTCTGAGGTGAAGGTGAGAGTGAAAGACAATGAACCAGATCCAGCCCGGCGCAGGTTCTTGGGTGAGAGGTAATATGAGGCCAAGGACTCGATTATGTCTTTCTACTGTATGCAGCTGGGTAGTCTCTGCTTGAATGCCTACTGAATTACCCAGTAGTTTGAAGGCTCATGACAGTGTAGAACGTTAGGTTCAGCGGTTCAGTTAGACTCCTTGGTATTATTTCTCGCTCGAAAAACAGCCCTGACGACTCTCAACAGCGACAGAAGGTCAACTATCCTAATACCACTCCTCTTCGTGCATCATACAATACTGTCCATAATTTTGCGTCTCTAAGGATCTTTCAGCAACACGTTCTCAATATTCTGTAACGACTCCCTCGATTGCGTAGCGAAGCACAGAACTCTGGAACATCTGAACCGTGACTCTCCCCAACGCTATTAAATCTCACTTTCCTAGGTCATCTGGACGCCGAAAATCCTGGTGGCGCAGCTTTTTCCCTCTGTCGGCCGCATATCTATGTCATGATATCCTCAACCATCGTTATTAGTCTCATCTTCTTCCTCGAACTTTTGCTCGTTGAACTTGTTCTGTGCGATATCCTCGACAACTTTGGTGACAAAGGACATTCGCTCTTGCTGCGTGTCCAGGGCTGTACATCTGGGCCACCAAAAACGTTGGGCTCGGTGAAATTTAGCCAGTTCATCTGATAGAACGCGACGGACCTCGCAGATTGTCGCCCATGTATTTACAGTCGATTGGAATTCTTCGTGGAGAAAGGCTAGCGTCTGGTGGGTCTCTCCGTTGGTGGCTCTCCGCAACCTTGATGTTACTGTCGGTCTCTTGGAATGTTCTGGTGGGAGCGAAGGTTCAACTGCCGCCATACGCCTCAGGAGAAGCCCGGTGTAATGGCGGATGAGGTCGTACTTTTGAGACTCCGTCATAATGCTGGAGGTGTCCGCGGGCTGGTTTTCGTCTTTCTGAAGCATTCGTCTTCGTTTCAACCCAGCTCGTGGTCCGCCTGCAGAATCAGTTGTATCGACATCTGTGCCAGATCCCGAACTGACGGTCTCGTTATCTCTGCCGTCGAATACCTGAGATCGCTTCTGCTGAGACCGCGACGTTGGGTGAGTCGGTGGTCGTATAAACGACGTTAGGAGATCTTCGTGGCTTTGCTGGACGGTAGGCCGCTCCTTTAGTAAGTAACTATAGGACCGGCGCCTCACCGCAGCCGCTGTTCGCCCTCGGTCACGATTTGCCAAACGAAATGTCGAACCTAGACGGATGTTAGGCTTTACTGAGTAGGCTTGTTACACTTGGCTTACCTTGCGCTCCATTTCCGGTCTCGCTAGTTGTATCGTCTGCCTCTCGCTGAGGTTGCTGCTCGACGGCGCTCGTCTCTCCTAGTTTCAGAGTAGCATTCGCGGTTATGACGGTTGAAGTAGTGTCTGATTGCGGCTCAGCAGAAGACCTATTTTGAGCGGTCGCTCGAATCCCGTCCGTACCGCCAGGCCCAGCCTCAGTTTTCAGGACGGCGTCATCTTTGGTCAGGTCGATGTTAGTCTTGAGTTGTTCAAGGCGTCGCTTGATGGCGAGCTCCCTGCGTTCGAGCTGTAATTGTCGCTTGTCGAACTCGATCTCGGCGAGCTCATACTTCAGTTGTTTTTCATCGTCCATGACGGTCTGTGGGTCGCAATGAGTTAATAAAGTGGTAGGAGCGTGACGAGTTCTGGTATGGCTGAAGAAGGGTCCAAGGAATCTTGATGTTGAGGCATACGATGTTAGATCATCGCGGCAGAGGAGAGTGAGAGATGAGAAGGACCTTGAGGTGGACGAGCCCGGGTAATTGACAGTGCTGTTGAATGGGGCACTCGTCAAATCTCAAAATCAATTGTTATGATAACACTCAAGGTTCGGCAGAATTCATTCCAAAGACATCTTGAGGCCTAGAATTTGAACTCGCTTCACTTCAGCTACCATCTGCGCTGAGCTCTTTGACACTCGCCGCTTTTGCGGAGGAAGTAGGCACTTGATGAAAAGGAGCCCCTGCCATCTTTGCAGGCATGTTATCGAAGGCAATAGCAAGAACGTTGACCAGGATCGCCACAAGGCTGAGAGCGTCTGCCTTGTCCAACTGATAGTAAGCGTGCGGGGTATCCAGGCACGCACGACCTACTTGTTAGGCTGGTAATTAAGAGCTCCACCAGCGGCCCCAAACGGTCATGCTCCTGGGCAGGCAAAATACTTTGAGTTGATATAATTTATGGCCGAAAAAAAGATGTTAAAATACAGACTCCAATCTTGTCTGGATGGTCTAGTTGGTTATGACGTCGGTCTCATAGATCAACTGTGATCTTGTGTATGTCGCAAACACAAGAAGTTATCCGAAGGTCGCGAGTTCGAATCTCGCTCTGGACATTTTTGCCCCCTATAGCCTTGTGTCAGAACTATCCTGAAGGGTTTGTCGAGCTCTTTCCATATACCAGATACGGAAGTACAGAAAAGACGCGAGGCTTTTTCTTTTCTTTCCTTCCCTTTTTTTCAATTTTTTTTGTTCTAGGTAGGAGCGTCGAATAACATTTCTCCGAGTGCAGGAATAATGGTAGGTTAGCCGACACTAGTATTGTAACAGAGCACTTTAGGGTTCGGCGTGCACGTGCAACAACGCACAGAGGCCTGTCCAGTAGATCGGGAATCGAGAACGCGTTTCTGGTTGATACTGACGAGACAACACCACCACCAACACCACCCAAAGGGACAGCAGCTAGGGCTACGAACACCTAGCACAGCGGCAGCATCGAGGAACAGGACAGGACTGATAAAACACTTAAGAATAGATTAACGGCACCAAAACCATTGAATTCGTGATATTCCTTCAAACTGTCAAGAATGGCACTCTGCCAGCACTGTAAACTGTCCTGCTCCCAGCGATCTAATTAGGTTTGACATGTGACCTGACAGACCTCTGCCCCGCCAGTCCACCACCAGCCCAGCACAGCCACTTTGCCTTGTTAAGTCCGACCACCAAGTTTTGCACCAACCCTGTTTTACACCACGCGTTCTACCACCCCACCACCTCTCTACCAACTCAATCAACCAACTACCACTCAACCAATTCGCCTTTAATCACGCGTAAATGGCCTCGAATCGAGAGGCTAGGATCCAGCAAGCAATCTCTGACTATCAATCACGTCGATATCCTAGCATTCGCGCAGCCGCGGCCGCGAACGATGTCCACCACTCCACGCTCGTCCGCCGACTACAGGGCACTCAATCGGCCGCGTTATCCCACGAACCACAGCAGATATTATCAAATATACAGGAGGAACTATTAAAGAGATGGATACTCGACCTTGAGGCACAAGGACATCCTCCTAGCTATTCCACTGTGCGAGATCTCGCTGGTGTAATTAGTAAGGCAAATGGCGGCCCTGAACGCGTTGGAATTAATTGGCTACCA